AAGCTGATTAAAGGAAAAGTTGACGGACGACGATGGACGGACGTGCGCGGCACCATGACATAAGCACACTTGATAATAACGACTAAAGGGATGTAATCAGCTTTCTGTAGTAGCGTTGAGATTAGTAGATTAGCTGTATACATAACCAGATTTCATTTCGGACCATACCTTTCTCCATTGATGCACAGGGGCTAGCAACGATGTATATGGAATAAGAATATAAACAGCGCGAAAAATACGTAACTGTACATAACATAATGTATATAATGCTATTTTTATTCCTATTCCATATAAATCGTTGCTAGCCCCTGTGATTGATGTCTCCATCTTCAACAGATTTCCCCAGCATGAATTCTAGTTCAGAAGCCGCAACATTGTATCTTATCTGATTACAGCGCGCTTATATGGTTCCGTATTGACTATTTAGTGTGGCAGTTCAACAGCGCATATCGAACTATTTAAGACGGAGCATGCGTTGCATGTACGAGTTTTTACTACAAATATCTCAAACCGAAATATGAAGACGGGATAAAGTTATTGTTCAGACACTGACAGTTTTTTGTTACACACGTGTTTTGTAATGACATATGTGTCGATATGTTGCAAGATAGACAATTATTTGACTTGTCTAATTAAACCAAGAAAAAGATACCCGGTTTTTTAAAGACGAAAACACAGGCAATCCTATCGCAGAGATTGTAGGACTCCGCGCTAAAATGTATAGTTTTCAATATGTTGTCTCGGAAAATTTTACTTTTGAAAATATGAGAATCACTACAGATTCGTTCAAAGAAAAGCAGGTAGCCAAAAGCATTGCCAAAGCTACCACAAAGCGAGACTTGCGACACCAGATGTACAAAGAATGTCTCTTGGACAAACAGAACAAAAAGTGCGAATGCACTCCATTAGGAGCGATAAACATCAGTCATACGTGTATAACATCAACAAATCGGGACTGTGTGTTTTTGACGACAAGCGTTGGATTTTACCAAGTTTCTGCGATAACTATGTCTTCGGCCATTACAAAACAAAGACGGCGTTTTAAAGTGAAATTGAATTTAAACTTATTTTATGAACAAGAATTGATAAAATATTTCAATGTATATATGTAGAAACGTATGCAAAACAAATGCGAATAGAATTTGTCTGATAAAATAGTATTAGTAGTTTTCTTTTTATTTGAATCTTTAAGGGGAGCATTGTGAAAACTAAAATGCTATTTTTGGGTTGATAATGAGACTAGTAGAGTTAAGAAAATTAATACATCTAAAATTGGCTTAATAATTTTGATATGAAAACTGACACAATGCTCCGTTAAAGATTCAATAAAAAAACAAAATCATTTAACTGTTGTGGCTGCTGTTGTATCAGCTGTTTTGTTGTGGCTGCTGTTGTATCAGCTGTTTTGTTGTTGTGGCTGCTGTTGTATCAGCTGTTTTGTTGTTGCGGCTGCTGTTGTATCAGCTGTTTTGTTGTTGTTGTTGTGGCTGCTGTTGTATCAGCTGTTTTGTTGTTGTGGCTGCTGTTGTATCAGCTGTTTTGTTGCTGTTGTATCAGCTGTTTTGTTGTTGTTGTGGCTGCTGTTGTATCAGCTGATTTGTTGTGGTGGTTGCTGTTTTGTTGTTGTGGCTGCTGTTGTATCAGCTGTTTTTGTTGTTGTTGTTGTTGTTGTGGCTGCTGTTGCGGCAGCTGCTGCTGTTTGGTTTCCCTCTTGTAACATAATGCTTAGAGCTGATATTGTCCATATTTGGCTGTATCGATGTAAGATGAAGAGACCGCTATTAATCCGAATCTGACTAACATCAACACTGACCTAAGTGTGGTCATTTAAACTTTTACATGATTCCCATCTGGATGGATGACCTTGTTTCTAAGTGACCTAGTCCGCATACCGGAACAGATGTCTACAACAGATACTGACTATAATTATGGAATATGACGCCAAGGTAGAATGTCCTACAGCTAACAGGACGATCTATAAAGGTTTAAAAATGATCACTTTAAATGAATCGTTGAAACGCCGCTTTTGTAAACTCGATCAAACCCCAATCCTACCTCGATCACACCCCAATCTTACCTCTATCGAACCTCAAACTTAACTCAATCGTGTCTCAATATTACCTCCTTCGAACCTCGATCCTACCTCCATCGAACCTCAACCTTACCTCAATCGTATCACAATCTTACATCAATCCTACCTCAATGTTGAGGCAGGATTGAGGCTGAGTACCCTCATTTTACATCTACTTCGACGATCTGACCGTCAGGCACGGACAACTTTAAAACATTTTAAGCATGAACGCTGGGAATAGTGTTCCTTCTAATCGATCGTCCTTGACTATTTAGTCTGTAAAGTGTTGCTGCTTTGGAAAGACACAAAACACAATGTCATCTTCCTGCTCCTCGAAGGGCTGGAGCGGCGGTAACCGCTGATAATTTTCCTATATTAATTTATCATCATTTGACAGCATTTTAGTTACTTAATGTGTTAACAGAGGTTGTAGAATTTGCCACCAGATCAGCAGCAAGACTCAAAAGTTGGGCAACATTAGCAAAGGAAGCATCCGGGGAGCTTTGGGCCATTGAGTGATTGGTAGTGCCAGTGTCCATTGACAGGTACTGGATTAGGCTTGTAGCAGCCATGTCGACAGGGGACACTATATCGTAAGCTCTTTTCAGCTACCCCAGCCTGTTCAACCGATATAACAGTTACATGCAACTACGGACCTAAAATCTTCATGCGCAAACTGCCACTGCTCATATATCCTGACCACCGGTCACTGGACGTCATAGTGAAATATGTGAACATTTTATCACAAGAAAATGCATTTCAACTTCAATTTTCTCAAAACAAATTCTTTTCGTCAGAATGATATTTGACAGTTAACCTATACCTGTTTTCTGTTAACAGGTAGTCCTTTGTCTGACCGGCCAGTTTTCCTAAACGCGTTCTAGATGACATGGTAACGAAAGTCTTCATGGAAACCAATATTCTCAACACTTCCTCAATCATCTAAGATCACTGTCCTGTGGACGAGCACCTTGAGTAGCTGGAGTTTGCTGTTATTGTATGATTCTCCTCTATCGACTAACATACCACACTTGTACAACTCAGAGTCCGGTAATTTTTGAGTATCGTTTATCTCCTTTTTCGTAAATGCGGTGATTCTACTATGTTTCAATCTTTGTTTACACACATACCTGAGTTCCTTGATTGCTTAAAAGTATTGTCAGGGTTGTGTTAAGTTCCTCCAGCAATTTTAGACGGATGGTGTCAGGTCCTTTGGAATTGCTGGAATTGAGGATTTTAAAGACCTTCCAACTTTTTTGGTTTGTTTTGTTGCTTTCTTCATCTGTAGGGGGTGTATAGAAAATCCCCCTGTCCGTTCTTCTGTCCATGATCCTTGTGAGCACGAATTTGCCTAAATCGTTGGTTGGATGCTTTCATCACTTAACGAAGTACTTCATTTGTAGATCTGCACTAAGAATGGAATTTGCGATTCAACCATATATTTTTCCTGGAGTTATGGCCATTGAAACTTTAAATTTCTACCCCAGAAACCTTGTAAGCGCTTAACTATTTGGTCAATTTTTGTTATTACTTGGCATAGTGAAACTACATCATACGTAGATGAGCATGGAGAGAGGAATATTTCCGATTCAACTATTTTTCCAGGAGTTATGGCCCTTGAAACTTTAAAACGTGACAAGTGTGAGCGCGAGCGGTGGGTCTTCTTAAATATATATATATTGCATCTACATTATACGTGTTTGGGTCAGTGTGTCACAACTAAATATACCCCAAAATAATCGAATATTGCATACCCAAAATAGTCAAATTTTGCAAATGTAAAAAGGGGATATCTACTGACCAATTAAAAATATTTTCAGTATGCAAAAATCAATTCTGCTCTGCGAAAATAATATTTGAGTATGCAAAAATATTTTTGTAAGTGCATTATATTTCATTTTTGATATGCAATATTATTGAACTGAATATGTATTTGTGACGTACTACATGTTATTGGTCGCACCATCGAATGATACCTTGTTTCGGTGTTATTCAGTATGATTCGTTCATTGAACAATTTACAGTTGGCTCTGTTGATTATACAAACAGTTCCATATATATTTTGACGAAAATATTGACTGATGCAAGCTTCCCCATGCTTCTGCCACTGCAGGGGCCAGTGAGTCGACTATAACATGCATTGGTTGTGCTTTGTATGTTTGGATCATTCCTGGTGTGTCTTTAGTATTATGCCACTTCAAAATAATCTAGAGTTGATTCAGTCTCCAGTCCATATGTAGCTGTGCTGCAAATTGTATATATCCCTGTCTCACACAGGCATTTGTTTCTGTCAATAAAAATAATCCTGACAATAAAATACATAACATCCGTCTCATATAAAATATGTATCAAATAGATTAATTAAACGGCGTTGAGTAAGATATTTATGTAAACTCTTCTACTGAAAGAAAGCAACATTAAAATTATGTAATTCATTCTTGTTTAATTGATTAATACAGTTAGATTGCCGCATCTATCGAATGACCTTAACCTTGTAATATGTAATTATATCGCAAAATATTTAATGTTCTATTCAAGATAATTTGAACGGATAAATGGTGAAACCCAGACATGTAATGATATATGTAAGTAACATAAGCCGACCTTTGTAATTTTAGCAGACGACGTAAAAGCCAATGTCTAAATATGGACATGCGAATAATTATTCACTGTTTGAAGTCAACACACAATCATAGCCAGTTATTGATCAGTTCACAATTCATCAGCAGTCGGCAAGTTTAATTTCAGCAAAACAAATAGATTATTGACACAGATGTATGTTAATTTATTGTGCTCTGCGGGAACTCTTCTCCCGGTGAAAATTGGAAATCGATATTCCAGGCTAAAGTCAGTGTTATTCAAACGCTTCTGCAGCGAGAACAAAGCCGCATCGGTGTATTTCAAGCTTATAGGCGACCATGATTACCTACAAAACGAAAAAAATGGCGGCTTGTTGAATGTGGAGCGTCTTTTTTCAAGACCATAACATTTTACGAAAAAAGGTTAGTATTACGAATGAAATTCCTTAAAACCGTTACTAAATAGTTAACGTAATTCATAATGTGTATTTTAAAATAAAGTATTTGTCATGCAAACTGTAGCTGTGATTGTTATCAGTAGCTGACTGGATGCAGTGTGTTCCATTGTCTGGTCTCGTTTCTTGCAATGTTTAGGTCTCATTAGTCATACTGATATTTGTAGTTATACAATAACTATCTACGCTTTAACATTGGGACATGGATAAATGGAAAAAACTGAATAGCCTATTAATCAACTGAATCTTCAATTTCAGTATGAATAAGTATGACTTCATCATATTTACATTGTGCACAATCTCTATCAACTTTCGTATGCGTACTGTACAGTATGGCGTCTATGTGAAAGAGAACCTACATAGCTATTTCCAATGGCTAACAACTATCATGTGTATCAGGTACTGCAACAAATGTATGCAAGTTTTGCAGTAAAATTACGTGGATATAGGCATGTCCGGTTATTATGGTTCTTTGGGATTACTATTTACTTTCACATACCTGCCAACCCCGGTTATATTATACTGAAAGATGGTGATGACCCTCTTTTGAAAGTAAAAAAAAGAGGGTCATAAAGCGCAACGTCTTTTTTCGGAACAAATATAAGAAAAGTATATGTAGGTATTAAATTAGATTTAATATTTTAATGATGTAAAAGGTACATTCTACATTCATTGAACTATTCTTACAGCAGATCTACAGTAGCTGCATGATCCTCATCCACAATACCAAATTCAAAGCTGAAAAATAAAAAGATTCGTCAACAACACAACTTATAAAATAAATTCATAATAAGAAATATGATACTGTGTTTTCACAGGCACTTTTTATGTCAATTAAAATGGTTCTGACAATTACAAGTTGCACCCTTCTCATATAAAATATCATTTTTATACGAGTAGAGTTTAAATTCTTATTGTCAGATCATTTTGATTGACAGAAACAAATCATCAAATGCCTGTGCATGTTTTTGAATGTCCAAGTAATGTTGTTTTTAGCACCAGGTAGAACTGAAATATATGCTATTAACAAAGAGTGCAAATTGGAGTGTTTGGACTTTATCCACTATATGTGCACAATTATCTTTTCTTTTAGCATTTCGTGTAGTAGAACCTGCAAATCCCGATAACGACTTCTTCCTTCAAGAAGACATAATGTGATCTACAACTGTAAATACAACTCAATTCTTCGTTAAAACACCTCAATAATTACTTGTCAGTAAGCTCAGTATCAACAGTCTTTATATAAACAAACGGAAATAGATCGTCTTTCTTATGACAAAGGATGGAAAAGTCTAGAGAATTCCGAGTAACTCTGGTTACTTCTAATATGCGAAAAGATTACGGGTGAAATGGACGAAATCTGGGTCAAAATCGTAACCCAGCAGTTGAAGGGGTAAAATCCTGGCAAGTATGTTTTCAACTGACACCAGCAGGGGGGGGGGGCTTATTTTTTAGTTGATTGTGGAAACTGCAGTACACAGAGGGAACCATTGTCTTACCTGTCTAAAATGTAGCAGGAAACCATGGTAATACAGATATAACTGCATGACAAGCGAGGCTCAAATCTAGAGTATTATATACCACTTTGCTACATAGAGTGCTAATTAGGGTTATCTTGACTCCAAAATTAAAATAATCCTGTTCATCAGATATTGTCCTTGTCTTATCATTTACATTTTATCGGATTAAATAGGATGTGATTGCTGTATTCGACATGTTCATATTAAGGTTGGGTAATAATATGTGTATCATTGGCTTGTCTTTGGGATTTCCCAAAAGCTCCTGAAACCCTGATGAGAGGTTCAATGCAGTTGTATTGTAGAAAAGTATATTAATATTTGAACAAAATACTTATGTTATCAATATTTTTTTCATTCTACAGATTTGCAAAAATCTCTCTGAGAAGCTTATAACAATTATATATGATGGCACCCAAAAGAAAAAAGCCCCCTGGCTCTGGAGATAACCCAGCTGACGAACGAGAGGAGTCACCTGGTCCATCCATGTTGCCAAACAAAAGACGCAAGAAGTCTATGCAATATGACCCTGTAAGTTAAAGAATTCATTGTGGAATAGTTATATTTAACAGATAAAGGATATTTTAATTTGGAAATACCTAGCTCTGAACATTTATATTACAATGGAGATAATGGAAAACCTGTAAAATTTGAAAATCACAAGAAGACTGATTCTCCAGTCCTTTCGCTGCTATACAGCTCTTCAGGAGAATGAGTTTATTTTGAAGGTACCATACATCATCGTAACATCAAAGCAGACGTAGATTATTATGTAAAACAATAAACACTGTAGTGACATCACCAACAGCAAACAATCGATACTCTTCAGAAGTTAATTATCAGAACACATGCATATGGAGTCATTCTTGCCATTTATTGATGTACTCGTATAGGGCTCACAAGCAACAAAAGGCCTCAAGAATCAGTCTTCTTGTGATCTTGTTAAATTTTGTATCCTTTTCCTGTCACAATGACATCAATCAAATTTTTGTGTTATATTTATACAAATATAATATAGTTACCTAAGGACTATTGTATTTCTTGTTAAATTTTTGTATAGATAATTTAATAGTTTTCCCATTTATACCTTCAATGTAATATAAACAGTTGTTTCTATGTTGTATTTGTGAATTCCAAAAAATATTTATCACAGAATGAATATATGTCACATGTGATGACGTGTTTACAGTTTATGGTTTCCTTTGTAGGTGGATATTTGTCAGGAGTTGTATGACACTATCAGAAACTATAAAACAGAAGATGGAAGATTGATATGTGAAACTTTCATCAGAGCTCCAAAGAGAAGGTCCGTGGCTCCCACCAATCTATGTCTTGTTTTAGGGATGTAAAATTTGACTAGCCTGACACGTGCACATGACAGACTGCATTAATGTACCATGCTAGTTCATCCAAATGTCGCACCAACTGGTTGTACTGTACAATCCATACTTACCAACATGAAGGGAATGTTTAGAAATTGTTTTAAGTTTATAACTGTTAAATCTGATAGTGGTTGATAACTTAAAAATAATTGCAATGTTTTTATATGATGGGACATATTATGGTATGGGGAGTGTCCATTCTTCTGTCAATACTTTGGTTTGCACAAGTTTTAACTTGCTTAAATATTGTTTGATTTTGATGAAACTTGATATTCATGTACATCAACAAAAACTGTGACTTAAGTCAATGACAAAATTTAGCAAAATCCATACATAATTAGCATGCTGCACTCTGATTGGTTGATGTTTTCTGTACATAACTACGTCAAATACGACTGGAATCTGATGAAACTTTGTCAATATTAATTATTAAATGATGAAGGTTATAAGTTAAGCTTAAGGTAAGCAAAACAGGTATGCACATAATTTATCAGTATGTTTTCTATCTGATTGGTGCATGGTTTCCACACACTAACTTTGTCAAATATTACAGGATAATGTCAGATGAGACTTGGTCCATAAAGCGAAATCCACCAGTAATTAATAAACAACAGAAAAATCTTTTCCTTCTAATGACCAGTGCAAGATGTATCGATAATTGGCGAAAAGTGGACATTTTGATTTCTATTTTCATGGTTTGAAATATGTACAAAGGGAGGTAATTACAATTTTTGTTTTTATTCCTTCCGCTTAAGTTGGTTAAGTATAGTATGTTTTCTCCTTTCACCACATTCCAGAAACAGCTCTCAACTTTACTGTGTAATACATTATCCAGTACAATGTATTTCTTCTCCTGACATTTCTGTTTTTTTCGTACCTATACTATTAGTAATTTACGGTAGATACAGATTGGCATTGAGTGGGTGTTCCGCCCTGCGTTCCTCTTGTTACAGATCTAATACATATACCAATGTTTTACCAGTTTAATCCCTTTTGTTTGGGACACAAGTTTTGAAAAGGCTAGTGCTATCACTGATCTCGAAAACCAAACTCCAATTATTATCTCCTCGCGACGAAAGTTTGAGGGGATATAGGATTCCGTACATGTTTATGTTACACTCTTTGTCATCACTCTAGCGACTTCATTTCTCAACGAAACTTCATTCAATTGTTTAGTATGACAATACCTTGAAAAATTCGCGTTCCAGGTTACTGCTTGAAGTTCAAGGTCACTTTTACTTTTTTAGAACAACTTAGTCATCACTCTAGTGACTACATCCCTCAACCGAATTAAATGAAACTTGATACAAGTGTTTGGTTGCGCTTTGGGGTACTGCATGAAAGTTCAAGGTCACTGATACTATTTTCAGAAAAACTTTGGCTATTGCTCTATCGACTTCATTCCTCAACGGAATTTTGTGAAACTTAATACAATTGTTTTGCCATGACAATACCTTCAACAGATGGCTGATGCAGTTGCTTGAGCAGTTACTGTTACATCATTGAATTTTCTATTCATTTCCTCATACATATGGCACACAATGTTTGAATGCAAGGGGATTCGTATCATTTGTGATGCCTTGTTATATTTTAAACTTGCTTTGGTTTACAGGACAGCAGCCGATTACTATGACGTGGTCAGCACACCTATAGATTTACTGAAAATCCAACAGAAGCTGAAAACAGAAGAGTATGAAGACGTCGACCAGTTGTCTACAGACATTGAGCTCATGATCAACAATGCCAAGTCATATTACAAGGTAATAAATACATTTCCCACTCATAACAACAAACCTTACCTTAAATTTTATCATGATAGTTTTGCTTTTGAAGCATTGTTTAATTTAGCAGGACGAGTGCTTTTAAAATTTACACCCCTTTTTTGAACTTCCTGAAATTAAGATTAAAACTCTAAACTCATAAATTTACAAACAATCATATTCTCCTATATTGATACCGGTTTTAATGTTCATAACCCAATTACAACTATTTAAAATCATTAAATCATTTCAAGGTTTTTTCACAATGTAAAAAAATATTTTACCTGAAATCACCCTTACCAGTAATCACTTTAAATTTACTTTTACATATTGTGCATATTGTTAAGGGTGTGATTTTCTCTTTTTCTTAACAGAAAGAATCTCAAGAATACAAAGATGCCTGCGACATGTGGGAGCTATTTAATGACACTCGGAGTGAGGTGATATCCGAGGCATTTGGAGAACTTGTTCCTGGGGATCGGAGGGGAGGCCGTGCCATAGGTACAGACAGTGATGATCTTGACGATGACAAGGTGAGACCATCAATTCTATGCAACCGCAAGACATTGACATATTTTGTCACATGCTTCAAGATAAAATATGGTAAAAACCATAATAAATCATGTTGCGATCATGTATTGAGATTATATACTAAGTTAGCTACTTAAAAATAAAATGCCATTAGACCCAAAGAAAGTTTTGGGTTTAAAAAGATTTTCAGTATATCCTTATTCATAATTACAAAGTGTGTCTTGCTTTATTCTGTATACACATATTTTCTGTGTCCAGGAAAGCTCAAACGACAGCAGCTTGTTGCCGGTGGAACCTGACAATCCAGAGGACCTTGAATGCCTCTTTTCATCTGTAATGATGACCCGTGACGGGGAAAGGGAGATAAGTCCAGCCTTCCAGTTACTGCCTTCCAAATCTGTGAGTGCTTTTATGGGTTTTGTGTAGAGAGGCAGAAGTGTGAGTGCGTTAAATTTGATAGAATAGAAATGATATCTTGCTACTGTTCCTCTACCTTATCTAACAGATTACCGGGTATATTCTAGCATCTCGACAAAGGGAGTAAGCTTCTAAGAATATTTTATTTGTTAAATTTTGAGTCTTTAAAACTAAGTTTCTCAGGTTCTGATAACTACCAGTGGCTGATTTGTTTTGATCTTTTTATGCCAAAATAACGAGTACACCGTACGATTGAAATGGAAAGTCAACAAAATCAAACGGTCTAAATTGACGATATTGAGTTCAGGAAAGACATGGTTGAGGAATGGTATATGACCCTATTGTATACTATGATAAATATGATGTAGTGTGTAGTAATCAGAATGCTTGCCAATTCCAAATTGCTTATGTGCTTCTGTTTGTTCAATTTAGTGGCAGAGGGTAGTAGTCTCCACCAGTACCTTGTGCATGATTTAGTTAACCTCGTAACAGCACCAAAGATCCTGGCCTACACCATATTGACACTATCAGTGTTAGGTGTGACAAATGTGGCGTTTTCAGTAGTATTTGACATTTTTTGATAATATCTTCCTTTTTAAAAAGATTTTGTAAAAAAAAAAATTCTTCACAAACCCAAGTTATACATGAATCTACTATTTCATCACCAATTGGGATTTGGGGAAGCAATGTATTTTTGACTTATTATAAACTGTTGAACGTTAGATACTTTATATGGTGAAAAACATGACAGATTGTGTTTTAATATCTTTCAATCAATGAAAGATGTAATTTTGAAGACAGTACCAATTTTATCTGGAATTCATTATTAGCTGGAGAATAATTCTTCGAGAAAAATGAAACTTGTGAGGCGTGCCCAATCACCCAATATCAGATATCAGATCATATTGATACTGATTCGTAATACCCTATGTCCTCAATTAATTTAATATTAGAACACCAGGACTGTTGTTAGAGGTTAACATCAGTCTTATGCACAAGGAACATTTAAACTCTCAACTTAATAAAGCTTTATTTAAAAAAGGTACCTAGGTATATAGAAATCATTTTGAATTTCATTATATTCTCAATTAAATAGAAACTGCAACTTTTCAGTTTCTTCGACAATTTTAAGGTGCATTTTGTAAACGGTTGCATGTTTAGACAAATATGAAGATGAGATATAAAAAAAATGACATAAAATATGGTTAATAACATTAGTTGCCATTTTTTAAAAGAAATATATTGAGAGTTTAAATGAGATTGATATGGCCTTTTCATTATTGTATCCTCATATTATTATTTCTTTTATTATGATTTTTAGACAGATGAATGTTTTGGTATAAAAATTGTGCATGTCAAAATAAGGGACAATTTTACAGTGTCTATTCTGGAAATATGAACTGCAGAAAGAGACATTGTTATCCTCTTTACACTAACATCAGACAACAATTGCATGGTGTTTTCATTCACATAAAATTCTACCCATTCACCTTACATACACTTTTGGTCAGGATCACAGGAAAAAAATATTTTCATTTAGTTTAAGATATCTATTGCAGATAACAGGTTTTTTTCAGTGTTTCCGAATAAAGATCGTGGTGATGGTTATTTCCAGAACAAACACTTCTTATGACCTAGTATTCTTGTGTCAAATGGAAAATTTTAAAGAGCACTTGTTACTGTAACAGTAGCATCGCTGTCTACAGAGTACAATCTTTATCTTGCAGGCTTCATGCTTTGGTAAAAGGGTTTTACATTATTACCTACTTCAGTTCACATGTCAACGACATTTCAGAGTTGAAAAATACACACTATAACACTTGATTAAATGTCCTGTTTCCCTTTTATTCACAAAATTACATGACAGATTTTTTTTTAATTTTAACTGTTAAAACCCCCTTTTCACACTACCTGCTGAATTAAAAATATGACATGGAAAGGCCATCAAAAAAACTGGCTAGGATGATGATCCCTATTTAATTTCACTATCCATGTTTTTAGACTATAAATGTTTAAAAGAATCTGATTTTTGCTTCATTAGAAATTCGGTTATATCTGCAAAAATAAATATTTAATCAACAAATAGTAAAAGTAACAAATTGGTATGTAATTTCTTAGTATTCTTTTCAAAAATCATTTCAAAAAGTAGTTTTAACAAATTAAAGCCCGTTTTCATTTATCTGCAGAAATACCCCGAGTATTACCAGATAATAAAACAGCCTATTGACATGAAGATAATTGGTCAGCGCTTACAAGCAGGAGCTTACACAACTATGGACGACCTGGAAAAAGATTTTCTATTGATGGTCAAAAACGCCAAAACCTTCAACGAGCCTAAATCCCTTATCTACAAGGTGTGTTTAAAAAAAACGAACATTTCATTCTTGATAGAATTCTTTAAAAACACTGCATTCCAAAAGATCCATTACCATTTTTGGATAGGAACACAAAGTACATACATCTTGTGTGCCTAGACATCTTCCTTTATTTTGTTTAAGGGTATTTTTTAATATACAGATTCCATATTTGGCTGAAGGCATTGGCAATATCAAACCACTTTTTGATTGCTGGAACACGTTTTTTTTTACAGAAGTATTACAAATGTATAGTTTTAACATGACTGTTTTTAAATTTTTTATTTTGGTTTTGTCTTTCCTTTTATTTTGTATTTGTGGAAATGCACGTGTCCAGCTCAGGCATGATCTGTTTTATTTTGAACATTTTTCCAGCCTCTAGTTTTGAACATTCAGCCTTTTTTGCTTGCAGTGTGTAAAGTATATAATTAACTTGTACCTTATTTTATGTATAAATGCAAATTCATACCAAAAATTATGTGAATCTCGTGGTCAGTTATTACTTTGACAAAGGGTTTATTAGATTTCGTGTGTGATTTGTACGATTGTAACTTAAAATAAAACAAAGATCAAAAGGCGACTCAACTCAACAAGTTATTTAACAAACAAGCAAATAGACTTAGGTGGATATAAACCATAATTAGTAAATTACCTGAATATTAACTTGCAGTAAGTGTCATGTAGTTTGCTTCAGTAACTTCTTGTATATCATATACATTGTATACTGCACAAGACAGTTTAAAAGTGAGTATGAATTTTGTCATGGCTGATTTATCATGACTTTGGTTTGGTAAGAAACCTCTAAATTGGTATATTGGTACGTCTACTAGTTATTTTTGAAAGTTGATATGTGGATCGTTGTAGAATATCAAAAACTGTTTGACAATGCCTTGTTTGATACTAGGACGCCCAGACACTGAAGAAGGCAGTTCAGATCAGAAAGGGGGAACTGCAGACTAAAAGTGTTCCCAAACCTGGGGAGAGAGCCAGGTATGTTATTTCATCAACAATGGCCACTTTTTTGTTCACCTCTTAAAAAGAAGGACATAATCGAGAAATAGCTATAGCAGTGTTGTGCTGTTTTCTGATGAGGCTTGTAAAAATTCTGTCTATGCCTGACAAAAAATGTATTGATATGTCTGACATACTATACTGTAAGTATTTCATCAGTTACCTAGAAGGCCAGACACATTTATAAAGCATTGTTCTTTCTCTTTTATGTAACAAATCAGGAATTTTTGAGGAAAATTTAAGAAGGAAGGGGGGGGGGGGATATTTCAATTGGAATTGGGTCCTTTTTAACAAACTTTAAATAGTGATAAGTGGTGTTGTTTTGAATGAGAGATGCACATGCCTTAGGTTACTGGGAATTTTTTGGTACAAATTGCTGGATTGAGTGATGACAACATTAATGAGGCTTCACTATAGACCATTGTATGGGTGTTTACTTGACTCTCCCTGTAGGTGCAGGATACTTTGGTTACATTGTACATTTTATCATGAAATACACACAATTCAGTCCATTCATATATATATATATATGTAGGTATACATCTAGATAGTTCACTTTAAAAAAAATCAACCACTTATAAACATCACATAATGGAACGTTTTCATTATATATTTCTTGATTGACTAGTTTTGATAAGTAATACACCAGAAGTTGTTTGCTATTTAATTAACTGCTGTTGTTACTTGTCACAGCCGGTCCCGAGATAAATGTAGCTGGTCATCCTACTGCGCTAACCTGCCGTACCCTGTGGAAGAGACGTTTGAACCACCTGTATCCCAGGACTCCAACATGAGCATGGACTTTGATGACGATTCTGGTACAGAAACTGTTGTCTCTGAGCTGGAGGAGGGTGACCCCTACTGGGCTATGCTAAATTATATCAAGGGATTCAAAGGCCCTACTGGGACTCCTCTGTGTGAACCCTTCCTCAAACTCCCTAGTAAAAGGTATTTTTTCATAAGAGTTGTTGTATAGAAGAAATTTATGATGAACCCCTGGAGAATGAATTCAGTGGTTGATCTTGGCCGTTTTCCAGCTGTTTATGGGTACTTTATCCTCAAGATATTTTGATATATTGCTCCAGTCTCCCCACACTTGTTTGAAAGGCAAAACCTCAAATATAATATTTTACATGCCCTGATAGTAAATATTTTGTGTGAAAATGATACAAAAAACAAAAGTTTAAAATGTATTTAATTGTGCATTGATAACATTGACATCAAAATTCCCTATTCATAAAAAAGGATATTGCAAAATAAGAAAAAAATCTATACCAAGTTATTCAAGGTAGCTTTTTTAAAATGATTGTTCTTGATATATTTGTGGTTGTGATGTTTTTTTTATACGTTGTAAAATAAATATTCATTTTATAATTTCTAGGTTTTACCCGGACTATTATGAGGAAATTAAAAAGCCCATGTCGCTGTCAAATGTCCGCAAGAAGCTGAAGGTAAGCTGTATTTTTATTACTCGTTTTTCATGGTCTATTTTTACTTTTGAACAATATAATGTTCAAGAGTTAGTTGACATGTTTAAATTAATATTTTGTTTTTTCTTCTTTATATTATATATATATATATGTTCACTATGAGTGATCCCTCAAAAATGATTTCTGTACGATTTTGCATTCAATTTGTGTTTCAGTACAAACAGTACAGGAGTCTAGATAAGCTGACCACAGATATAAATCTTGTCTTTGAGAATGCCAAGCAGTACAATGCTGATGAGTCCAAAATATACCAAGTAAGTGTCAGATTGGCACGGTGTAAGAAGTAACTCGCAAGCAAAGCATCACAAAGTTAGCTTGCACTTTCATTTGTAAAGGAGAAATATTCTTTCTTTTTTTGTAAATATATGTCCAAGTCTTAATTTGTTTTTAACGGAGTACATTTTCCAAAATGCTTGATTTGGTATCTTGTAAGCCACATGACACTAATAGAGAGAAAATTAAAATGTTTTTACAAACAATAAATTTATATCATCAATGATAAGTACTAGTGTTATGCTGTGTTACCCTTATGGAGTGTACATATATATATATATATATATATAAAAATTCGAGATTTTGATGTACGATTGATGTGTTGATAGGATGCAGTGACCTTACAGCAGGCGATGTGGGACCGGAAGCATGAACTTGAGCGTGGTGAAACTAAGGTATTTGCTGGTCAGGTATTATGGCATGCATTGCTGTGCTAGCTGATGCTCCCAGTGTTAGACAGCTGCATTTCCTGTTGTCTTCAATGTTGTAATAACATAGAAACAGTGGGTGGCCCGTTTCTTTTCTCATACCTAAGGGGACAAGCGAATTCGCAGGATTATATTTTATATTAATATATATGAAGCATATCCTGATCTCATGTAGTGAATACCAAAAGTTTAGGGGTATTTTCAAGAGTTGTCAGCTGGAAACTTATTATTTGGCAAAGCTGAATCTGTCTCTTATATTTGGTATTTGTTTCTGTATGGGATGGTATGGGGAAGAGTTATTTAGCAAAAAAAATATATGTATTAGAAATAGACTAGATTCTGGAGAAGGGCTCTTCTTGTTTCACTAAGGAGGTGGGAAGGAAAATGTATCTAATGTTGACTAATAGAATAAAAATGCTGATTATGGTGTACTTGTTTCTATTTGAGAAGGGGGTATCTAATGTGGAAATTATAGGGAAAAGTCCAGATTGCGATTTACATGCTTTTGTTTGGGGGGGGCAATGAAAGGATGTAGCTAATGTAAAATAACATCAAAAGTAGACCAGATTGGCTGATTATAATCTGAAAACAAGCATGTTGCATACCAAAGAATTGATGATCACTTTTCAATTCCATCACTGAATAAGGAAAGTGATAATTACTTGTAAATAATTTTCTTCATGGATGAAAGAGTAATGCATGTCTAATTTACTAGATGTTTCGAAAGTTGAAGGGTGAGGTAATATTATTAATTATATGATGTTAACAGACCTACCGCTAAAACATAATCAATTGATCGTTTTTGACTGAATCAAATCTAAAATGGACGGGGCTGACCATGGTAATGGGGTGGTGGACTATGCATGATATCATTATACAGCTGCTGACTGTTGTACATTGTACTTGTATATGTAGTCTCCCTGACCAATACCTGCAAGTGTTGTTGTAATAACACATGTGTTGGCATTGTACTCTTGAACTGTTGTTGACAGGAAGTTGTCATATCATTAATAGATAACTTAGTGCATATACATTGTAACTGCAGAAAAGTTAAAACACGTTTGAAGCAAGATAGATTTGGATGTATTTTTTGATGGAATAACTCTCTAAACCTGCATAGTAAAATTTTAAGAAATTAATATAAAAACAAACTACATAGAAAATTAAAAAAAAGTGTGACAAACAGTAGGTTTGTACAAAAATAAATACATCATATATAGGTACTGACATCTCCTTGGGGACTTTTTCAAACCACTCTGGCTATGTGTGTGTTGATGTACACATTTTAAATTCAGTATTTATTGAATTTGAGTAAATATTGATCTGAAAAGGTGTACATGTGCCGGTTGTGGTGAAGTGTGAATCACCAGTTTTATGTCAAGTTTGTTTAATTAACACAAGAGGTATGCAGTTTGTTGTGGCGTTTGTTAGCCAGTCATCTTGGTTCATGATTTTGTGTGAGAACTCTTTTTCTGGGATGTCGTGTTGATTTGCATTTGTGGGTCCTACAGTTATTTTACCAGACTTCATGAGTGTCCGTGTTGTAGAGATTATGTTCTTGCATGAAACAATAATACAGATACCATAAGTCACAGAGTTCACCATTAACATGAACAGTAGGTATATACAATAGATGTTGTGACTAACAGGCATGGCTCAGTGTACTACTTGTAGTGTCTATGTCAACAGCTGAGTAGGGCAGGAAGTGGACAGATTAAACAATATACAGCGGAATCTATCCACTCCAAAAATATTTACTGAAACAAAAAATCCATTTACCTTTTTATCAGGATGACTGCAGCAAAAATGGTATTAAGCTAAGAAGTTTATCAATTTTCCTAATTTATCAGAAAGAATCTTATTGATATCATATGGATAACTGGAGTAATCCCAAAAAATACTTTCGATTTCTAATATTCAAGACTTGAAATGTTTTGGGCAGGCCAGGAAAGCATGTTTTCATAACTCCCACCACTCACAACTACTTATATTCCTGGAGCCCTAGACCATACCACTAATATCTTATCAATTATTAGTGCCTCTCACTTTGTTTACGATCATTCATATCTGGAGTATCCCTGAGTGATAACGATCTATTTCATCAATTAAAATTATACTTCCATCCTTTTTTGAAAGGAGGTGAAAGGAAAATAACATGTTTGGTTATTGACACATGTCAATGCATTAAATAATATTCAGGGAATAGTTTTGTATGTATGAACAGACAACATGTAAATAAAACACTTACCAAAAACTTTGTTAACTAGCCAATTCTTGGACATTCCACCAGGGATGCACAATTTCTTACTAAGAGTACAAGCTCTAAGGCAGATTTGAAAAAAAATATTCTGCTAGCCTATTTGACAAAATCTGCTAGCTCCAGGCATTTGGCTAATTGCATTGTGCAGGCCTGTTCATTGTCATAAAATGTTAACTTTAAAATTAATTACATTAGTGACCAATATATGCACAGTGAACCTCATATGATAACAAATCTAGAACCTGTCGTTGTTTGTGCTGCTGTTGTTCCGTCCCCTCTATATGTTCTAACCAGCAAGGCTTCCTTTTGGTGTTGTCCTTCTAATAGCTCGATGTCGGAGAATGTACAAAGTGAAGCTGTGTATTTGGTATGAAACCTAAGCTTTTTCCCAGTTTGAGTCTGTGTCCTTATGATTTTATTCAGTTTTTATCTTTATATAGCATTGCACCATCATGATGCTTCTTTGTACTAAAAAAAATAAAGCATAAATTATGACCTTATGAAACTTGATGGATGAGTTTTCAATATACGATACATTAAAATGAAAATTTCAAAGAACAAACTTTTAATTTTTCCTTGAAGAAATAATGCAATACATCTTATTAATAATTACCTTTCTTAAGAAAATTGGTTAATAATCATGATAAGAAAATATGAAGCAATGTTGGATTTTTCTGTACAGCTGATGTCATCTTTATCTATATGCCTGTCTGCATTACAGTACATACTCTGTACTAGTTCACACACTGTCAGTTAACATAACTATACATTCTGTGGTTGTACAACAGGACGTTTTCATGGAGGAACTTTCTTCTCAATCCGATTTCCCCTCCAGTGTGGTGAGTACACATGTACTGATGATGTCATTGATTTCAGACCCTACTTTTTTATACCCTCGCACATACAACAGAGAAAGTTATAAGTGGACCCAGTGCACTTGCATGTGAGTGAATGGTGTTGTTGACATCATGGTTAAATGTACACAAAGAGATAATCTTGGGATTAAATGATCAATATTCATTCATTAGGATCCTGTAATAAAAATCAGGGATGGACTTTTGGTACAGAGTACTTGTTGATATTGGTACCCACATTTTGCTTTCTGTATATAGTCACAAGTTGTTCTAAGCTATTGTGTACTTCACATCAGCAATATATGGTTTATGTTTCACATAGTAAGATGTCAAGCTTTCTGCCATTTGCAATGGTGTGGTGCTGTGTGAAGTGCATGCAACATTTTTTGTAAACTTGTTGGTCATAAAAAATAGATGTGTGGTCTTGAAGATCTTAGATAGAAGGACACAATATGCAGACTTGTAAAAGCTTACTAATAAAGAGATTAAAGGTTAAGTTTATCCAGACTTGCTCAAGTTCACTGATACACATGTTTATGGGAAACTGTACAAAGTCTTGTATAAGCTCACCTATAAAGAGGTAAAGGGTAAACTGTACAAAGTCTTGTATAAGCTCACCGATAAAGAGGTAAAGGGTAAACTGTATACAGACTTGTATAAGCTTACTATTACAGTACACAGGTAAAGGGCATACTGTATGTGGACCTTTATAAGCTCACTCATTCACGGGTAAACTATATACATATTTGTAGAAGCTCACCATTACAGAGGTAAATGGGACACTATGCACACTTGTATTAGCCCACTTACACAAACTGAAAAGGGAGTGGGATTGATATCATGCAGTGTTATAATCACATTCATGTGGAGAACTAAAAATTAAGATTTTTTATTCACAGCTTCAGTATTATTAGGTCTAGTTGTGATGAATTTGGAACAGTTTCTGATCTTAATCATACTTCACAGCACACATTATTACTTAATACCCAAGTGGTTGTCAGGACCTTGTATTGACCCAAAGTAACTAAGTAGTGAAAGACTTGTCCACTAGTGAATAACTCTGTCCCATTTTAATTAAACTCTGTATTCAATGTTGTGGAAAACAAATACAAGAATCAGTTTTGTTTGTACATGTGTACAGTAGGGTATAACTGTTGAACAATAAGATCAAGAACTCTGTCATGTAATGACAATGTCAAAAATGATTTTTAAACTTCTTTTGAGAAAAGTCTACACAATATGAAAATTGAATAAATTGTTGGGAAAATTGAAGACATTTTATATTTCAACCATTGGCTCTCTATCAGAGGTTATAATGAATTAAACAAAGTTGTTTGGAAATTCCATGCTTTGAAGAAATTCCATATCATAATTGTCGCTTCCCTGCTAATTGCTAGATTAGTAAACTCTGTGTAACTTTTGGCTTTCACTTGTACAGAACGCTAATGGAAGTTATTGGTGTTGGTGTTCTTCTGTGAGATATTATCGTTACACAATTTGGATATCAATCGTGTATTGATGACAATATTACATGAAACTAAATTATCTGGGATATTGTTTTTACTTAAGGCTAGTCATGAACTGTGAAGTTACAGGTATGACCTTTACATTTCTGATAAACTGACAGTTTTCAGACCATATATGTTCATGTATGAATGAGTTGATGATAGTGTAATACTTAAGTTGAATAAATATATAGATAACATCATATTTTGGAGCAGTATGGAACATATATATAGTTCATGGGGAAAGAGGATATCAGTTTACTGTGCAGGTTTTAACCGAGTTATGCTCTGTAAGTTTAATTTACATCAAATTAAAATCATTGTGTAGGGTTGATAAATTAATGAATCTCTGAAAATTGTTCAATTGTTTTCCTGGAGGTTTGACAAGTGGATTCTTAAATTGTATTTGAACTACATGTATTACATCATCCTTATAGTGAAGTCTTATTGTTTTGGTATAGTATGATCTGTCTAAGCTGCACGTCAAATCTGCATCCCTGCCCTGCTTATATAATTTTGCTGTTTGATTCCATTATTTCATCAGTTAATCAATAATACCTATGGGTATGTTCAGCCTAATTCGGACACTGTCTGCGCTGGAAACTGGCAATGTTACTGTATCAATAATTGTTAATATACCGGTTCATTCTGGCTTTTTTCATTTCCATTTTTCTCCATGCTGAAGTGTTAAATGTTGAAATGGGATATTTTCTGTTCTTACCTCACTGCTACACTTTAAGTGTATACTTTCAAAATGATCCAGAACCTGTATAAATCTGCCAAATGTTTTGGTCCCCAAAATACCCAGTTTAGACAAATTACACTATACATTTAGTTACTAAATTAGTACTTGTATTTATTTCGCTATATGTAATGATTTTAGAAATCTGGACATAGCCATGACTCGATGGATGATGACAGTCATAACAAGTCGAGACACCGTCGAAGTGGATCTGGAGCTCCAGACAGTGACAAAAAGCGTGCTAAGCGGGCCACACCGGAGGACATGATGAGACGCCGACTCTGGACCATCTATAAGACAGTCTACGACTATACAGTAAGATATTGATGTTTGTTTATGACTGATTCCACTGATTCTAAAACTGTAATCACCAGTGTCTGACAATTTTGGTTATTTTTGCCCTATCATATCTAACAACAGAAACTGATGCAACATTTGCCTTAGTGCAGCACTTGCACTGACCCTTCCTTGCAGAATTTGTGAAAGTTTTCAAAATATGTATAATGATATAAGAAAAACACTGTTGACCAACATTAATTTATCATTGATCCTGCTCCATTACATTTTAAGATACTAAAGATAAGCAAGACTGTCACATAAACTATTTAGAATCTACTAAAACTATGTAGAATCTACTCACTTCCATAGATAGTTCCATTTAAATGACTATCTGTGCTATTATAGGACGCTGACAACCGACCACTAAGGATGATCTTCATGGAGTTGCCATCCAAACGGGATTACCCCGATTACTATCAGGTCATTCTCAATCCTATAGACATGGTCACCATTGAGGCAAAAACCAAGGGAGAGAAGGTAGGCTGTCTTCCACAGTGACATCATGTTCGTATGTGATGTTGCAGAAACAATGTGTTTATTTATTGCAAAGAAAATATACACCACAGATACAGTATATGTCAATGCAATAATGGTTCTTTCTCTGATGTTAGATGAATACATATGGTATTGCTTTTAATTATTATAAATACCCAAAATTCTTGGAATAAAGATAATCATGATCATTACAGATTAATATATAAGCTTTCTTGAATGGAATAACAACATTATGTTGTACTGTGAAATGGTGCCAAATTTTTATCAGAACTTTGTCATAAATTTCAACCCTGTAATATGAAATGGAAGGATCATGGTTCCTTCAGCCTTCAGTATGTTTGAAAAAGGTTCAAATATTCTGATTCTGCTTTTTCCATTAAAATATATTCTGTGACAATTTAACTGTTTTAATGGCATTGAGAAACCCCCCTTTTCACCCCAAAAACACCCACAATAACAAGACAAAGCTTAAGTGGACAACCTGCACAAGTGCAGATCTATCAATATTAAGGTTAGGTATGAGAATGCCTGTCTGCTACAGCTTGCTATATATAATGAGTCCAGCTGGTAAAATGTTTGATTTTTGTTTCCACAGTACTACAGTGAGAATGAGCTGATTGTTGACTTTGAGTTAATGTTTAACAATGCCCGACACTACAACGAGGAGGAGTCGCAGGTGTACAAGGACGCAAACACGCTGGAGAAGCTCGTCAAAAACAAGTGGAGGAACATGCTGCAGACAATGGAGGCTCGCAAGGCCCTCAGCAGGAAGTACGTGCAGATGTACCGACAGTGAGTCTTGTAAAGGCTGTATAAGGCTCAGTAGTATAAAGGGATATCACAGCCGACCCTCTAGTGTAATAGAAAATCATTAACAACAATATTAACTGCATTCCATCCAAATGGACCAGACTGGAAATCTTGTCTGCTTAGGATTACACTTGTTCTTGAGACTCAGAAAATTTTCTTTTATGGTTAGATATAAAATTTTGATGCAGAGCGAAAAGAATTTTGAAAGGAAAAAATCAATGTGAATAAATTTTGGAACATTATTTAAAGCTTTTTTTAACTGAAACAAATATTCAAGATGTGATCTTAAGTATGTATTTTTCCATCTGAGTGCTATTTTCTGCTTGATTATTGCATTTTGGGATATTTGAATTATATTATTTGTCTTTTACATGTATCACATGTGATTGATTTGTGAATGTTGGCATTAATCTTACTTGTCTTCATCTTTTCTTGGTATCTGGCTATACAGGTAAGTAATATGTTCTTCCTTCACATGGACAAAGGGACAACATCTCAAGTTCTGTTAGAGACAAGAAATAATAATGATATCGTTAACTTAGGTTATCACTTTGACACTCTTCATTTCTCATAAAAAAAAAGTGTGGAATCTTAGATATATCTGCAATTGAAATTTAATTGGCATGTTTGTTTTGGCAACAGAAAAAATATCACCTAGTTAAAAAAAGACATAATGATTTTGAAAAGCATGATATATTCTGTTTGTTTTACTCGTAAAATTTTCATTCCTTTTCTGCGATAAACCTTCAGACCTACAGAGAGTCAGGTCAAAATAATATGCAGGTAATATTGAAGAGAATTAAATAGAGTATTTTAAGATAAAATAAAACAAGTCGTATAAAGTCCGATGATGGATTAGATGTTGTGATACTAGACTATATACATGTTGTAAAGTGCTACCTATCCTTCTGGGGTCATCAGTTCCCATTCACCCCTATCACTCCAATAATCACATTGTTGTGACTATTATGTAGTGTGAAGACAAATGTGTGTGAAAAGTCCACAAGGTAAGCAGTGCTTTGTTGGTATATATCTAGTAACTCCCGAGAGGAAGGCAGGATATTAGGAGGATACGCAGCCCTACTCAATGTTGTGTTATTGTTTCTGTAGTACAGGACATATTCATTCCTAAATCATTTCACATACAAATCTAAGCCCAGTTTCTTTCTATTTATTTGTACATAAACATTCCAACATTTTTAATAAGATGCAAGCTTCTACAGTTAAATCCAGAACCCACAATATTTTGAAAACTGTCACCTGAACGACTTCATGTCTATGATACATCCAGGCCCCTAATTGGATCACTTTGAAATAAAAAAAAAATATTTCCAAATTTGTACAGATTGGTACGAGAGTGAAAGAACCTTCAATACCTGTTCTTGTGCAGAAATAGTAGAAACCTGATAAATTATGGTGGTGGTAGAGATTGGGCTAGAATGTTGTCTGTTCATTGTGTGTTACACTGTTACTGTGATACAGTGTTCCACTTCACCGTTAGGGCCCCACTCACTACTGTATGCCATTTGATGAGTGGCCCTTCTCACTCATTCCCTTCTTCCCTCACCTTGTTACCTGAGATACGGCAAACAGGATAAAAGCAATTCTGACCTATCAACTTTTACTGTTTTGTTCATTGGAACATCAGTTAGACCTGCTTCTATCTTTCGTTGTTGTATGTGTTGTGTCTATTGAATGTGAATTATTCCTATGCTGCTCAAAGCCTTCCTTACTCCAGTTATTATTATGACCTTATATATATACACAGATGAATATCTGTGGTTACAAATAACTCTTCTATGACTAGAGATATCTGATATATAAATGCTGTAAGTTTTATGTATATTTACAATTTGTAATTAACTCATACACCCCTGAAAATTCATAATGAACTATTCCAACCTTTGAATCTGAAGAGTTCAAATGTGTCTTCAGGGGTAAATGAGTTAAGTATCTTGCATACAATAAAAAATAAAAATAAAAACCGTTAACATTAAATTTACCTTTGATTTGTATTACCACTCAGTTCTGTGGAGGCTTTGAGCAAACAGTAAACAGTATACCAGTGGACTAAGATTTCCTGATGTCAGCTAAAATAGATACCAGTAAATGATCTTCATTCATGCTAATTGGCTAGAAATCTGCTAGCTTATATCACCTTTTTATGGTGAAAGAAATAGTGCATAAATATATACACATGTTTTCTGACATTCGGAAAGTCTTTGATCTGAATTTCATTGATATTTATTTTATTTCCTTGATCAGTCCTTTTCATTATAGTTAAAACTCACAAGTTCAGATTTATGCAACAGCCGTTGATTTATTTAGTTTTTCTAGCATGATATATTTTGAATTCATATTGAGGTCTACAATATTTCAATAATATATGTGTAAGTCCCTTTCTAGGACATTATAAATGCTTCAGTAAAAATTATGATAAAAGAAAAAGAATCTATTCAGCAATTAAAATTGAAAGTACATGTATCATTTAAAATGTAAAAGTTAGAATTGTGAGATTCTCTAGTAAATATTTTCTATGGTAATTTTCATCTCTCAGTCTCTAGTGACAGGTGTTTTTGTGTTGGCTTTTAACATAGAAGAAATGACGATATGTCGGTATGGTATTTGACCCATGTTTCCACCAACAGGATGAAGGATAAGAAGGTGACCCCACTGCCCACTAAACTCCAGGACATCTACAACACTATACACAACTACACAGATGTTCGAGGGCGTGCTCTGGCTACACCTTTCCTCAAACTTCCCCTCAAAACTGTAAGTAGTGACTCTTTTTTCATCAAATTTGGATGAAGCCTCAAACAAGTGCTTATCACAATGATACCTCGAAGGAGTTTTGTGTATCAGTGTACTGATCATGAATCAAAGGTCAAGATTATTGTTACTTTAGATAAAAAAAAACTTTAGTGATTTATGGAACAAAGAGAGAAAGCAAGGGCATTCATGTTTCAGACTAGTTTATTTAGAGGGTCATATACAGCTGTGTCATGTGAAGTTGAGTGCTCAGTGGAGTGGTATATGAATGATCATTCACTGGTAGATTCAAATTTTTATTTTTTTTAAATTCATCAATATTTTTAATAATTTTTCATCACATAGTTTTCCCTTTAATTTCTGAAATCTCAGCATTTTATGGACATGTTGTAGCATTACTTCAATGATACTCATTGGGACTGCCATTGACAACAAAAATAAGCTTAGTTTGGGCCACATTGTTGTTTTCATTGAAAATTCATTATTTCATTAAAAATGACAAAGAGTTAAAAAGGCCAACTGAAGTTTTATTTTATATGACCCTGAAACATGAATTGGTGGTTGAAAGCTTAAATGCACAACTCCACTGGTGTTCATCGTCATTACAAAGCAAAAATATTATTCCGAAACTGTCTCTGAAAATATTAAGTTCTTGTGGTTACCTTTCATTTCAGCAACAACACCTCCAATGGACTCCCAGTATTTGTCATGTTGTTTGATAGTCTACAAATATTGGTATTGTCCTCAAAACTACATAATTATGGGTACACCGATGTAACTTTGATCAAGTTTGTTATTTGTTTGTCCCTCCCCAGGAGTATCCAGACTACTATGAGGTGATCAAAAAGCCTGTTGACATGCAGAGGATCCAGCAGAAGTCGACTGCCAACCAGTACGAGTCGGTGGAAGACATGGTGGCCGACTTCGTCCAGATGTTTGACAACGCCTGCAAATATAATGAACCAGACTCCCTTATCTACAAGGTGTGTACTATGGTATCCCCTCCTCACAATAGAGTTACAGGGGCATGTTGTAAATTATGTTAAATATCATCGTAATTTTAAACATTTCTCTTTCAAAAAGATAACATGAGACATTTGACCTTTTAACTTTCAGGATGCCCTGACCCTGCAGAGGGTGTGTCTGGAGAAGAAGTTGGAGATGAGTAATGATGGAGTCAATGATATTCCTGATGTTCGGGCTGGTGTCCTGGAAATGATGACCAGTTTGTTTATATCTACTTACAATTATCAGGTAAGGCTTGGTTAGTTATTGGCTAAGAAAAGGTTCCAGGTAAATGCATATGATTAGCAATCTAAGGCAAAGTATTTGAATGTATCGTTAGGATTTTGAAGCTGATGATGATATTTCTATTACAACAGGATGAAGAAGGCCGTTGTTACAGTGATTCTTTTGCTGAACTTCCTGAAAGGGATCCCGATGAAGATCTGGAAACATCCAAACAAAAAGAGTAAGTCTTTGTTTATTCTTCAGCTTATTGTTCTCAAATTATAAATAAACAAATTCTGTTAAATTCCTCAGATCAGCTGTGTTGCAAGCTTTACTTTATACTTTTTTGGAGGGAAATTTTATTTATATCTTATATGCAGTGTTCATGTTTATCATGTGATTTATATTATTTATTTTCATTTTTCAAACAGTTTAGTTATATGAAAGTTCTGTCATTCTTTTTACAGAAAATCTCTCATAATTGGATAAAAATTACATTTTTTTTTGTTTTCAGAAAACCCCTGTCATTTGACCAGATTAAGAGAAATCTAGACAAGGTAATTAAGATCTGATCGTTGTTAAAGAACATGATCCTATTAAGTCATATATGGATGTGAATCTAAGTTTGAAAATTGATCTATGAAGAAAAGGAAATAGTTTAATAATAGTTACAGTTAAACTTTAACATGTGAAGATTTATAAACTTAAAGCTAATTAGCAGTTGTCTTTCTGTTACAGGGTAGATATAGACGATTTGACAAGTTCCAGGAAGACATGTTTGAGGTGTTTGAGAGAGCTCGACGACTAAGCAGGACTGACTCTCAGGTACACTAAAATGTGTTAAATGTGACTTCTTGTTGCAAGCCCTACTTATGTTTCTTGGCATAGAATTGGTCATGAACATCATCCTATGCCTCACTTTTGCTTATAGCAAACTTATTGCTTAGGTCCACAGGGATTCATACCAAACACATGTTTACTATAGATATTTCAGGAAAATATGGCAATCCCAAATCAATAAAGCAAGATTTTTGGCACATAAGTGAATTCATAAATATGAACGTACTTTCAATATTTGAACACAAAAAGAAGGAATGGTTTGTGTCAATTTATATATCATTTCGGTCAAATTAAATATGATTGTTATTGTAATGAATGATAAAAAAAGAAAGAAAGATTTGCAGCTTTAGAGAAGAAATTAAAAAAAGAGAGAGAATGAAGGGAAAGAGGCCTCCTGTGTGAGGTTACATTATGTAAGAGGGATGAGCCTGGGGCACCCCAATCCTGGTATCCCTCCCAAAAGTTGCTTGGGGAATAAAATACAATTTGAAAAGAATAAAACAACACGTTTTAGAAGGGTATTCTGGAGCTGCAGTTGTTGTTTTTTATTATAGAAGATCATTTTTATGGCATCTTGTAAGATTGCGTTCTGGTCATTACAGCTGTATGAAGATGCGATAGAGATGCACTTGTTCTTTATCAAAACAAGGGATGAGACATGTCGTAACGGTGAGATACTGCTCACACCTGCTCTCAGCTACACAGAGCGCCACCTACAGGCCGCTTTGGATGTAGAGAAGATAGAGAAGTTACCAATGGAGCAACAAAGTATGGAGGAAAAGCGTGCTCGGCAGGAGGCAGAGGAGTACAATACAGTAAGCTGTTTCTGTAAAGGCCACAGACTTGTCTGAGCAACATTTGCATGATGTTGAGAGAAAAGTTGTTTGTTTTTTTACTGAATAGGAAAAAATTGTCTTCAAACTCTTCTGCTCAGTTGTTATATTGGTAATATAGATGTGATGTTTGCATTCATTTTACCATTTAATATAAGGTTGTTCTATTTCCAGCCCAGTGAAGGTGGTTTGGACAGCTTCAGGTACAAGGAGGAGATCTTTCATGTAGGAGACTTTGTCTACATAGAGCCACGGTAGGTTAACATTTGTGATATAGTGGCTTACATAAATCATGTCTGAAATATATATCACCAACAGTAGTTTGATTTTACTTCTGATTCTGATGATTTAATACTGTTAACCTTGATATGTTGATATTGTGAGTACCAGTATGATCAATACACAGCCTTACCTCCTTATATCAAAGTCATTGGGACCAAAACCATTGATAAACCTTTATTAGATAATTTCACTGTTAGAACACATAGAAGTAAAAAGCACATGGGATCATAATGGAATTAAACCTAAAGGCCTTGAAATAGATAAAGGTAGTAGGATATGGACATTGGACAGTATTGTCTTCAAGATAAAGGCCTAAAAATACAAAAATGTAAAACTGACATGGGACCCTAAATTGACTTCAAACTAAAGGTCTTAAAAATGGGAAAGAACAACAATTGACTTTCAGCTAAAGGAATACTGAAGATATCTGAAGTTAGAATAATAAAATTTGGCTAATTGAAATTCCATTAATGTGAAGATTTTGCTATGATTACTTAAGAATCCAGGGAGGGATAATGTGGTCCCTTGTGTTGAAGCCTTTATTTTATCCTGCCCAAACATATATGATGAATTACAATGTATATTATCTATCAATGATTATTTACCTGTGACAGGGAGAAGGGCCAGGAGCCACACATCATGTGTATAGAGAAGTTGTTTGTGGACCAGACAGACACACAGATGTTACATGGCAACTGGTTCTACAGGCCAAATGAGACCTTCCACCTCGCCACTCGCAAGTTCCTGGAAAAGGTTTGTAAATACACAGCAGACTTCAAAGTTGACTCAAAGAATATATGCTTTGGAGTTCAATTAAAAAAAATCAGTTTGAATCTTTACAGTAAGTTAGTGAGCTGTTGTACTGTATCGCCGATTGTCAGTCAGTTTTATGACTGAAGGGGTTAGTGATAGTTCACAGATTTATTTGAATCCCAATAAATAGAGGTTTTCTTATTTGATGGATAATTTCAATTCCATGATCTGGTATTTACCTGCTTGTTTCTGATGTAACAAAGTATTTTCTTAGAGATTGTGAAACAGTAGATGTCCGAGTTTGTCAAACGTTCTCAGTTTTACATCTTTGCAGATCTCTGTAAATATGGTGCATGAAGATGACTGCAAATAAATTCTCTAGAATTGTTAAAATGTGAAAGTTAATCTTCCTATATCAAAATATTTAAAAAAAACAAGTGCAGAATGATTAACTAAAACCAGTAATGCTTGTTTAACAGGAAGTGTTGAAGAGCGACTCGTACACCAGTATTCCTCTGACACAAGTCATCGGCAAGTGCTACATCATGTTTGTCAAGGATTACTTCAAGTACAGACCTGAGGTAGGTTCCGTACTCCTACATACACTCAACAAGGCAGACTCCAGTGTGTGGATTAAAGAATCAATAAATGTTTATTGTAACATGTTGATGTCATCAGCATTTCACTTCCTTGATTCTGACATTCAGTTATATGCTTAAAACTACTAATGTAATTTGATATTTTCACATTTATTCAATTTAGAAATTAGATTTTTGTTCTATAATTACATTTAGAATAAGTGCCTGAGGAAGCCAGGCAGTTAAAAAAAAATAATTGAAACTTTTGTATTATTTCATTGTATACAATTATAAGTATCTGAGAAATACCATTGTGCAGTCTTTAACCTTACCTATAACTTTTTCAGGGAATACCTGACCATGATGTGTACGTGTGTGAGAACAGATATGTTGCTAAACATAAATGCTTCAAGAAAATAAAGGTTTGTGTTTGACTTTTGAGATCCCGCCTTAATCCAAACTCGGATCAACCTCAGAATTTAGGTCACTGACTTGTTTTCATGAATAATTTCTGAACTTTCTAGTTTCCTTAATTAGAAAACTTTTGACTTTTTATATACTTGCGAAAAGAAAAGTACAATATGTTATCCATAGCTTTGAAAATACCTAAAGCATCTTTCTCATATTTAATATGTAGGTTCCCTTGGTCCAAAATTGTGACTGTTCAATATGAGACTGATAAAAAAACAAGATGCCTGCCTGTTGGCCATCTTGGATTTTGAAGTTTATTATAGCTCTATCTCAGAATGTACATGGAAAAAATATGTTAAAATCTCACAACTAGGGTTCCATTGGTCTTTGATTGTTAAGTGCATATTCAGTTTGGGACAGATCACATGAACATGATGGCTACCAGGTGACAATTAAAGAGACTACTTTCTTTCTCAAAATTCTTATATATGTAGACTCCTCTAGTTACACATTACTATTCAAGTCAGTAGGTCAAACAACAACACTCAATGTGGAAGGACAGTGTAAAACATATCAGTACAAAGTGCTGTATTTACTATTGACATCATATTAATTCTATAGAAAGAGAAAAGTTCAAATTTAGCACTGATGAAGTTCTCACTACTGGAGGCACACATGATCTCTCGATCTAATGAGGTTCTATCACTTGACATTATCTTACTCTATGTGGAGTTGTGGGGATTGCCTAAGTAATGATTTTGTCCCGTGACCCTTATAAGGTCTATTGGTAACACCTTAAAAATACTTTAAATGATATTTAGCCATTTGACACTATATTGCTTTGTGCTTGTTCCTTGCAGATCTGGCAGTCGATCAAGAATGAACACATGAATGTGGTCACACGTGATATCCCCTTGGTACCGGTACGCGTGGCGTCAGTGTTTGCAGACAAGGAGAAGGATATCGTTGATGATTGTGACACTAGCATACTAGACAAAAAGAGGCTGGTTAGTATTATTAATAATAGAGTTGTCCAGATCAATTGTTTTGATATGTTGTGTATATCTTATACAATCATAACACATCTACCACAGAAAGGAAGACTTTTTTATAAAAACAAATATCAGATTTAATAATAGTTAATGAAGTAAGATATCAATGTAGATTGGTTAAGTTTTGTTGCTGAACGCTATTTGGGTATGCCGATAAATTGATGTATGTTTCTATGTAAACAGGATGTACAGATAGAGATACCGAACGGAGAGGAAGGATGCGTGTACTATGATCAACTCAACACCGCAGCTGGCATCCTCAAACTAGGGGATGGGGTGTATATAAAGTCAGACAGAGAAAAACAACTGCTCTGCAGGATTGATAAGATATGGGTCAACAGAAAGTAAGTATCATATACAATGACTGGATGTTGGTGTTTATTTGGGGGAAACTGACTATTTCTACATTATGCTTTTAATTATATCATAAGCCCCAGTCAACTGTCAGGTCGACAGCTATTTGACATTGTTTGCAAATACTGGTGTGCTAGCCTGGTACTCAGTATGGGCTTGGCTCCTGTTGCTGGAGAAACCTGTGCCAGACCTTTGAAAAAGGGTCTTAAAATAATTGTATAGATATTGTTGGACAGCACTTTGTTAAAGTATTGATTGTCTGTATGTTTCTTATGTATACCGGGAAACTTTGTACCAGTCAAACTTTCGACCCATGCCAGTAAAATCTATATTCGCCCAGGGTTACTTGTACCCTTCACCCCAGAGTTACTGGTACCCTGGCTTCACCCCAGATTTACTGCTATCCTGGCTTCACCCAAGATTTACTTGAACCCTTCACCACAGAGTTACTTGTACCCTTTACCATAGATTTACTGGTACCCTTCACCCCAGAGCTACTTGTGCCCTGGCTTAACCCAAGATTTACTGGTGCCCTTCACCCCAGAGTTACTTGTGCCCTTCACCCCAGAGTTACTTGTACCCTTCACCCGAGAGTTACTTGTACCCTGGCTTCACCCCAGATTTACTTGTACCCTTCACCCAAGATTTACTTGTGCCCTTCACCCCAGAGTTACTTGTACCCTTCACCCCAGAGTTACTTGTACCCTTCACCCCAGATTTACTTGTACCCTTCACCCCAGATTTACTTGTACCCTTTACCCCAGATTTACTTGTACTCTTCACCCCAGAGTTACTTGTACCCTTCACCCCAGATTTACTTGTACCCTTTACCCCAGATTTACTTGTACTCTTCCCCCCAGAGTTACTTGTACCCTTCACCCCAGATTAACTTGTGCCCTTCACCCCAGATTTACTTGTGCCCTTCACCCCAGAGTTACTTGTACCCTGGCTTCACCCCAGATTTACTTGTTCCCTGGCTTCACCCCAGATTTACCTGTACCCTTCACCCCAGAGTTACTTGTGCCCTTCACCCCAGAGTTTCTTGTACCCTTCACCCCAGAGTTACTTGTACCCTTGCTTCCCCCCAGATTTGCTTGTACCCTTCACCCCAGATTTACTTGTGCCCTTCACTCCAGATTTACTTGTGCCCTTCACCCCAGAGTTACTTGTGCCCTTCCCCCCAGATTTACTTGTACCCTTCACCCCGGAGTTACTTGTACCCTTCACCCCAGATTAACTTGTACCCTTCACCCCAGAGTTACTTGTACCCTTGCTTCCCCCCAGATTTGCTTGTACCCTTCACCCCAGATTTACTTGTGCCCTTCACCCCAGAGTTACTTGTTCCCTTCACCCCAGAGTTACTTGTGCCCTTCACCCCAGAATTACTTGTGCCCTTCACCCCAGAGTTACTTGTACCCCGGCTTCACCTCAGATTTACTTGTACCCTTCACCCCAGATTTACTTGTACCCTGGCTTCACCCCAGATTTACTTGTTCCCTGGCTTCACCCCAGATTTACCTGTACCCTTCACCCCAGAGTTACTTGTGCCCTTCACCCCAGAGTTTCTTGTACCCTTCACCCCAGAGTTACTTGTACCCTTGCTTCCCCCCAGATTTGCTTGTACCCTTCACCCCAGATTTACTTGTGCCCTTCACTCCAGATTTACTTGTGCCCTTCACCCCAGAGTTACTTGTGCCCTTCACCCTAGAGTTACTTGTACCCTTCCCCCCAGAGTTACTTGTACCCTTCACCCCAGATTAACTTGTGCCCTTCACCCCAGATTTACTTGTGCCCTTCACCCTAGAGTTACTTGTACCCTTCACCCCAGAGTTACTTGTGCCCTTCACCCTAGAGTTACTTGTACCCTTCACCCCAGAGTTACTTGTACCCTTGCTTCCCCCCAGATTTGCTTGTACCCTTCACCCCAGATTTACTTGTGCCCTTCACCCCAGAGTTACTTGTTCCCTTCACCCCAGAGTTACTTGTACCCTTCACCCCGGAGTTACTTGTACCCTTCACCCCAGATTAACTTGTGCCCTTCACCCCAGAGTTACTTGTGCCCTTCCCCCCAGATTTACTTGTACCCTTCACCCCGGAGTTACTTGTACCCTTCACCCCAGATTAACTTGTACCCTTCACCCCAGAGTTACTTGTGCCCTTCACCCTAGAGTTACTTGTACCCTTCACCCCAGAGTTACTTGTGCCCTTCACCCCAGAGTTTCTTGTACCCTTCACCCCAGAGTTACTTGTACCCTTCACCCCAGATTTACTTGTACCCTTCACCCCGGAGTTACTTGTACCCTTCACCCCAGATTAACTTGTACCCTTCACCCCAGAGTTACTTGTGCCCTTCACCCCAGAATTACTTGTACCCTTCACCCCAGAGTTACTTGTGCCCTTCACCCCAGATTTACTTGTACCCTTCACCCCAGAATTACTTGTACCCTTCACCCCAGAGTTACTTGTACCCTTCACCCAAGATTTACTTGTACCCTGGCTTCACCCCAGAGTTACTTGTACCCTTCACCCCAGAGCTACTTGTGCTTTTCACCCCAGATTTACTTGAACCCTTGCTTCACCCCAGAGTTACTTGTACCCTTCACCCCAGAGTTACTTGTGCCCTTCACCCCAGAGTTACTTGTACCCTTCACCCCAGAGCTACTTGTGCTTTTCACCCCAGATTTACTTGTACCCTTGCTTCACCCCAGAGTTACTTGTACCCTTCACCCCAGAGCTACTTGTACCCTGGCTTAACCTCAGAGTTACTTGAACCCTTCACCCCAGAGTTACTTGAACCCTTCACCCCAGATTTACTTGAACCCTTCTCATTTGATAACTGCTGTTTATGTTGTTTTAAAACTTGTTTATTTTAATGTAAAATTCACCCTCATTGTGGAGGGCGAAAAAAGCAAAAGTTAAACTGTGGCAAAAATATCCCATTATGCAGTAAATAGAATATGGAACAGTTGGACAGATACTCTCCAGAAGTCGTCAGTTGTTTGATAAAGGGGGAAAGAATCATTACATATTGTACACAGGCTGTAGAGTTTTAAGATTACAACCTGTCAAACATTGAAGTAAAAAGAAAAGAAGTTTCCTCACAAATAAAATGTGATGTTGATGCGAACATGATTGTTTACTTACCAGTGGTGAAACTTACCTGAATGGTCCCTGGTATATCTATCCATCGGACATTGAGCACTCACCGACCCGACTGTTTTACAAGAACGAGGTGTTTGCTTGTGGTATTGAGGACACCATCAGTATAGACAGAGTTGCCGGCAGATGTTCTATACTACATATCAAAGACTACCTAACCAGTAAGTCAAGTATTTTCAATTGTATGAGAAAAGATAAAAGAATTTCTCAATCTGAACCATTTCTTAGTTGTATCCTGTCAAGGAGATTTCAAACTTTAACTTTGATAAACATTTTAGCTATGCTAAAAAAAAATTGAGTTTAGAATAAAATCTCTTTTGATACTTAATAATAAATGTGTGGATTCTGATTGTGTTTGTAGATCGTGTCACAGAAACCCCAGAAGAGGATGTTTACCTGTGTGAATCAAAATACTTTGAGCTGGAGAAAATGGTTAAGAAGTTGGGGAAAGGTCTCAAGGTATAAAATAATGTGGCATAAAATTTATATTTTAAAGTTATTGTGATATTTTAAAGCATAGGTATTGAAAATGATTTTAGAAGCTAGATGAATGATATTTTATTTTTTAACATTTTCCTGATACATAGTCTAATAGTTTAATTGAAATTTCTCTTCAAGTTATCAGCAGTCTATATTATGTTCCTGATTTATTCAAAACTGATCTGAATTTCTGAACATATTGAGATGATTTGTGGTGGATCATTTTCAGAAAATTTTGCAAAATTTATCTGTTTGCAGTGGCAACCTATGGATAATACAATTTAGTGAAATTTGAAACATGTTTATGTCATAGAAACATTAATTCAAAAGACTTTGTGGTTGTTATTTCATTATATCATATATATATTACCATTTTCTAAATTCAGCATTATTCCAAGTCTGGATGTTATTCTAATCATGGATTAATCAGAAAGTTCTTCAAACTCTGTATATATTTATAGTTTTGATTTTGTGCAATTATGGGGGGAAATATATATCTTCATGATTTTTGTAGACTATTAGATTTGATCTAATTGTAACGGCAAAAGTCGTTAAAAACTATTTTATTTTTAAATTTTTATTTTCAGAAATATGTTTTATCTCCAAAAGTTACAGATGATGAGTTGTACTTCTTTAGGAAGCCCATTACTCCACAAAAGGTGGGTACCATATGTGTGCTGTACCAGGATATTAGTATAGGGAGAAGTTAATGACACTACAGCATGTTTGTAAACAATTATGTTAGACTTGTAGTTAGTGTCGGTGAATTAACTCCAGTCAATGGAATACAGAGCAAGAATTGTCCAAATTTTACTGTAAATCATCTCATGTTTGAGGATTATTATTACACAATGGTAAATCTGTCTCGTAGTTATTTACAGGGTTTACAATGTTTGGTAGGACCAAGTATTAACGGACACACATACTCTGTGTAATGTAGAAACTTGTGCTGATTTTTGTAATACTACATCTGTGCGAAAATATGCTCGTATGAGCATTTTACATGAGTCATAATTCAGCAACATTGCCATGACAAAAATTTCCACAGAAGGAATTAATTTAAGAGTAAAACCTCGAATAATTCGATTATAACAGTATCTAGATATTGGAATTTTCAATGGCATTTCCTGACAATGAGTGATAACAGAGCCAAAATAAATTCAGATTAAAAAAACAAAAAAAACAATGTGGTGTCTTCAATTTCTGTAATTGATTTCTCCAGCAGTATGTAATACATGTTATTATAAATGGCGTAGATTATTAAGAAATGATATATTAATGGTATAACAAAAGTACCAAATGTTCTGAATCCATCCTTCCTTGTAGGAGCCTGTGTCTGGATCAGACACATCCAATATATTACTGGGCTCAAAGGTCAGATGATTGTCCTCCCAAAATTGTCAACCTTGAGTCGGAATGATAAAAATGATATTGTGACTTTGTAAAAATTGTTTTGAGTGGTGTTTGTATTATATTTTGTTTAGGTACAACATTGAATTGTAATTGGTGTAATTTTTTCCTGAGATATTTGTTTTTTATGTACAACAATGTAGAAGCGTTTCTAGAGACTATTTAAGATGCCGATATTATATGTAAAACTTTGACGAGGCTTTAGGCTAGACAGCTAGAGATGTTGATATATACAATATTGATGCAGTGTGTGTTAGCTTATATTAAATTAGATATAGCCTATAACACTGAAGTGAGACTAATTGACTGATAATCACCTCTAGGCAAGTGTGTATTTATAATACTGGTACATTATCCTGTTAATGTCTCTCCAGGGATCATTTTGGTGAGAGCTAAGGCCACTGACCCATCAAAATTCCAAATGACCAATCATCTTTTTAGTGATGGGCAACTTTTCCCTAGATTTTGTATTGGAAGCTTAATCACATTTTCGATTTGCTTGAATTTAGCCAAAATTGAGCAATAACTTTTCTGACCCAAAATGATCTCTGGTTTGCCTATTATCAAGTAATTCTACCAGTATTTCATAACATACTACAGTCAAAATTTGTTGTCTCAAAGGTAGCTGGGAATATTATACAGGTATGCGAGACAAGATCCAAAAACAGAGTTTGACTGTATTATCCTCTTATTGTGTGACTGATCTGTTGTTGTGTTGTTGTGATTGATGTTATTAAGGTGAAGCCTTGATGCTATGTACTGGTCAGTTTAATGTGGTTTTAGTGACCGGCCTGTTGTGAGGTTAAGCTGTGGTGCTACGTACTGGTCAGTTCAGTGTGGTCCTAGTGACAGACCTGTTGTGAGGGTAAGCTGTGATGCGATGTACTGGTCAGTTCAGTGTGGTCCTAGTGACAGACCTGTTGTGAGGTTAAGCTGTGATATTATGTCCCGGTCAGTTTAATATGGTCTTATTGCCAGACCTGTTGTGAGGTTAAGCTGTGATATTATGTCCCGGTCAGTTTAATATGGTCTTATTGCCAGACCTGTTGTGAGGTTAAGCTGTGATATTATGTCCCGGTCAGTTTAATATGGTCTTATTGCCAGACCTGTTGTGAGGTTAAGCTGTGATATTATGTCCCGGTCAGTTTAATATGGTCTTATTGCCAGACCTGTTGTGAGGTTAAGCTGTGATATTATGTACCGGTCAGTTCAGTGTGGTCTTCGTGACAGACCTGTTGTGAGGTGAAGCTGTGTTATTATGTACCAGTCAGTTCAGTGTGGTCCTAGTGACCAGCCTGTTGTGAGGTGAAGCTGTGTTATTATGTACCGGTCAGTTTAATGTGGTCCTAGTGACAGACCTGTTGTGAGGTGAAGCTGTGATATTATGTACCGGTCAGTTCAGTGTGGTCCTCGTGACAGACCTGTTGTGAGGTTAAGCTGTGATATTATGTACTGGTCAGTTCAGTGTGGTCCTAGTGACAGCCCTGTTGTGAGGTGAAGCTGTGATGTTATGTACCGGTCAGTTTAATGTGATCCTAGTGACAGACCTGTTGTGAGGAGAAGCTGTGATATTATGTACCGGCCAGTTTAATATGGTCTTAGTGACAGAACTGTTGTGAGGTTATGCTGTGATGTTATGTACCGGTCAGTTTAATATGGTCTTAGTGACCGACCTGTTGTGAGGTTATGCTGTGATGTTATGTACTGGTCAGTTTAATATGGTCTTAGTGACAGAACTGTTGTGAGGTTAAGCTGTGATGTTATGTACCGGTCAGTTTAATATGGTCTTAGTGACAGAACTGTTGTGAGGTTATGCTGTGATGTTTTGTACTGGTCAGTTTAATGTGGTCCCATTGACCGACCTGTTGTGAGGTGAAGCTGTGATGCGATGTACCAGTCAGTTCAGTGTGGTCCTAGTGACCGGCCTGTTGTGAGGTGAAGCTGTGATGCTATGTACTGGTCAGTTCAGTGTGGTCCTAGTGACAGACCTGTTGTGAGGTGAAGCAGTGATTTTATGCACTGGTCAGTTCAGTGTGGTCCCAGTGACAGACCTGTTGTGAGGTGAAGCTGTGATGCTATGTACTGGTCAGTTCAGTGTGGTTTTAGTGACTGACCTGTTGTTGTGTGATGCTATGTACTGGTCAGTTCAGTGTGGTTTTAGTGACTGACCTGTTTTGAGGTGAAGCAGTGATGCTATGTACCGGTCAGTTCAGTGTCGTCCTGATGACAGACCTGTTGTGAGGTGAAGCTGTGATGCGATGTACCGGTCAGTTCAGTGTGGTTTTAGTGACTGACCTGTTGTGAGGTGAAGCAGTGATGCTATGTACTGGTCAGTTCAGTGTGGTTCTATTAACTGTTTTACAGGTCGCGTCTCCTCTACAAAACAACAACAACAACGTTCATTATGTCCTACCTCATCATCACCTCCACCCCACCCCTCGACAGCACCACCATCATCAGGTTATCATCTACATCACGGCACTAACACTGCTACCCGCAGGCTGTCATCATAATGCTGGCCCTGACAATATCTAATCATTCAGCTAACACGCTATGCATACTGATCCATATGGGTCTATTATGGCTCCATTGGTTTACTCATATTTTCCACAGTGTCCCATTATATTGCCAATATAATGCAAAATCCTGCAGTATTGTCTCTCTAATGCATTGTCCTTCTGTATTGTCTTTTTAACATGGCATCTTTAATTTAGTCAGTATATCACAGTAACCCAAGCATTTTGGATAATACAGCTTTGCCTATAATGCTGCTGCATTCTCTTTGTTGGCCATTTAATGCAGCGTTCCTTATATTGTCCCTTTAAGGCAATACTCCCATATATATATTGTCTATGTAATGTAGCCCCCACATCACTATATTTTCAATCTAATGTAACCACATGCAATGCACATGCGCCCCCCACCCCACCCAAACCAACCCCACCCCATCCAACCCCACCCCACCCCCATATTGTAAACCTAAAATGTCATTCTGTATCATCAGTATGACAAGCTATCCCTATATTGTCCCTATAATTTCCCTATTTAAACTAACATAATAACTGCCTGTAAAATATGCTAATGGCTTCCTCGTATTTAACCCCTTGTAGATCATTATATTAGCAACAGTTGATCATCATATATGTGAATAATGCACTTAAATATTTGGATTATGTTTGAGATTTAGTTCTAATAAAAGTTGTTTAGTGTAGGTAAAAGAGATTAAGCCATTAAAATATCTAGATTTATTTTATTTTGAAGAATTCATTAAGTTGAAATTACTTATATTTGAATCTGATGTGTTTGCCCTTCTATATATGATGCATGTTTTAGTCAGTCTGAGTAATTGTTATTTGTGCAATATTGTACAGTGCTGTAATTTTCAATGCCTCTAACTTTCACAGTTTTATTCGGCCAGTACATGTATTAATAAATGTGTTTGCCTAAAACTGACCCAGGATTTTAAGTTTGAGTAGAAAGGTAGAGAAATTATTTATGTTACAGATGTTACTTTTAGTAATTGTTTTTAATTGTTTTTAATGCATCCTTAAAACTGAGTTTTGATCAGTTGTAAGCTCCTATGCTTCAATAGTAAAAATGTACACTATCCGATGTAAATATTTCCAATATTTAGCTTTAGCAGAGATGACCCCAAAAAAAAGGGCAGCTGACTAAATTTTCAGAATTTAAATTAAAAAAAAACAAACTTCATAATAGTCAGTATTATGTTTTTGACATTAATGGGGTAAAAATCAAGGAGTAGTCAATATTACTTATTGTAATAAGAAGGGTAAGAGTTGCCAGTGTTAATGAATGTAATATGTTGATTGTGATGATAACTGATAATGCCATACTTCAGATATCAGGTTGGACTAGTCCCACTGATTACTCGGATCACTTACTTACATAGGATCTTTCCCCAAAAGCCTATACATCTGACCACTATCTGGTCCTCTGCCATCACTGCTTGCCTTCAACAACTCGCCCAAATCATCATCATATCCTGCATACATATTGAGAATCTCTGCCTGAACTGTACTCTCCTTACATGTTGCTTTGCTTCCTGCAGCTTGAGCATAACCCTTTGGTATTGGCCAATTTTTCAGGAGCCCTCGCCCTTGCTGTTGAAGGTTGTGGATGTGCCCTATTTGGATGGGGAAGACTCGCAGGATGGCGACACCGAGACTGCTGACGACACACTCAACGTGTCCATGGAGGTCACTCCTGTCCCAGAGAAGCCTCCTAAAAAGGTCAGTGGGACTACATCAGTGGCTGTATCGGGATATGTATTATTATTAAAACAAATACTGGTAGTCATATTGTTTCACAGTTTTGTGCAATTTTACGCCTTGATATAATATGGAGGTTGACTTGATGCTTTAGAAAAATATTTTTTACCAATATTAAAACATTATTGAAATTTGCATTTAAATCATGTTTTCTGTTTGCGAGACATTCCAAGTCTCATAGGAGAAAATGTTGTAATAGAATTGAAAAAGCTTCTCAACTGGGTTTTGTAAGCTCTGTCTACCTCCATAGAAAGATTCAGGAAGTGTTTGCAGGTTACACTGTGATAACTACATGATGACGGGATGTGGAGGTCATTCCTCTAACCATACCTGTATCTGTACGTAACATTGTGATCAGCATACATCTGTAGCATTTCATGTACTACACTAACATGCCCAAGGACTCCTGACAAACGGCAGTGGGTTGTGGGCGGTTCAAGTTTATATAAAATATCTGAAATAGCAAACGTGAATATTTTGTGAGATTGTAGATTAAGCTTGTCGTGATATACACGTAGCCCAGGAGTCCTTTGATATGTTTTGTTGGTGGTTGGGTTAGGCATTTTTTCACATACGTTTTATTTTAGATGTAGAATTGTAATGAACAGGACACCAATACTCTATTTCATATAAATCTATAGCATTCATGATTTACTCTTGTTCCTTGATTGGTCACTAAAGCATTTATATGAAGTTATTAGTCTATGCTTAATGCAATGTTCACATATATTGTATTGCACCTTACAAATACTGCAGATTGGAGTAACTCTGCCCTATACTGTTGCAGACATCATTATTCAATTTCCTTTCGTTGATAACATTTCTTCCCTGCCAAATTAACCGCAAGTTCTTGTCTTCAAAATATCACAAAACAGTATTCTTTAAGTTCATTCTATTGAAATAATTTTCTTTTTTGAGTCTGCTGTTTTTGTTGGGAAACTAGCTATATATAGTAGCAACCCAATTACGTCAGATAAACGCACTTGTAATGCCAGAAAATGTGATACTGATTATCAAGAGATGCCTGTCTTTTGGGCCTTCTGCAGTGTCAGGCTTTCATTCAACATTATGAACTGATTAAGGAATCTTTTTTGAATTCAGAAAATACAATCACACTACCTGAGAATTTTATAGCTAATGCTGTCAATAACCTTTGTAATGCCCAGTAACGTCCACTCAAATTAACATGGTTAAAGATAAAATATTTATTCATTAATCACAAGTTTTGTCTCTTGGATAAGATTTTTATTGTGATGAAATGAATGACTTTTTAGTGGTCATGGCCATTTATCTTCACATAGTTCTATTTCCATAGCAACAGTAACAACCTCCATGTTACACGAACACTTGTAGTTTTACACTGATCATTGTCTGCTATGTATAGGTGTTGTATGACTTTAGTAGTACTTGTTTCTCTGCACTTTTATTTTAGACTGAGGATGACCATGCTAAAGAAAAATGTCCCCCGAAAAAGGTAGATGTTATGTAGTTAGGCATGTATGTCCAAAACAAATAAAAATCCTCAAGCTGTTACACGCTGCTAGAGGATTTTTCCTGTGTCTTTGGTGTAAATTATTCATTTTCAGGAGGCTTTGGCATCTTGTTGCTATGGTAATGGCTGATGTAAGACAAATTGTCATCATTGATACATTTCATTTCCTATCTCATTAGCATATCAAAAATATATCATTGGATTGTTTTTTAATGTCAACACCATTTTAAATACCATAGATTTCAATTCTGAATAGACAGCTGCCATTGTGGCGTTGCCATGTCCCTGAAGCCATAGTGTTGCGTATTGGTGTAGTGTACCCTTTTTTGCACTTTATTTTAGACTGAGGATGACCCACCAAAAGAAAAAGTTGTCCTGAAAAAGGTAGATTTGTGTCAATAAGTGTAGATACCGTAGGTGCAGCATTAACATCACTCTAGGTCTCCCTATAAACTGTGTGTTTTATATGTGTGCCCCCACTGAGGAAACGTCAGAGCTTGTCATCGCTGTCTTTGTTGCTGGACGAGTAACTCTGCATCTTATCAATGGAAATCACCACAAGGTGCAGGTGTTCTTGAAAGGCTTATGCATGGCTAATAGTCATCTGTCGGGATAGATCTCGGTGAGGTTATGTCGTAGTATTGCAGTGAGGACTCCTGTTTAATAATGAAAGATCAGTGATGTTTTAATCTTTTCCCAAGTGAATCGAAATAATGTCACTCATGATATGGATATTTGAAAAAAAGATAATCATGTGATGCTATTAGTATCAGTATAATCAGTATTGTCTTGTCCATGTGTATTGTTTGTTTGGCCAGTTTTGAGTAGGTAGCCGACTTCAGTGGGGGCATGTCTAAAATCTTGTTTAGGTATAGCCTTCTCCTGCATCCTTTGTCCAGTAGGCATATACTATGCTTTTTAGCTGTCCAACAGACAACAATATCAACTGTGTGTTCAAATAAACTAGCCTACTATGTCAGTAATGCAAGTCTTCATAAGTTATGGAATGCTACTAGAAAAGGACACAACTGTTTGACATTTCAGAACAAACTTGCAGGGGTTTGTTTCAAGGCTTTTTTCCCTATTGTTACATGTTAATTGATTTAATGCTAATTATTAATTCATGCACTTTGCATGTGAGGTCTTAAATTTAACAGAGATTTCGGCACCAGTTGTATGTGTATGTTTTCTTGTTGGCCAGTGGAGAGTTTTGTGCACAGGAAAGTTTTAATACTTATGCAGGTGCTACATCATCAATCACTCTGTCTTTCTTATCTTCAATGTGTTTCACTAATAAAATTTCTTATTCTGCAGAAGATTATCCTTTAAATCCTCCAGTAAAATGGTCTAGTATGTAGAACTGAATTGTAGTTTTATGCAAGATCTTCATTTTCTCATCATCAAAGAAAAACTGTCAAATTGTTTACATTTACCTTGTACACAAAAAGTTTCATCTTTAACTCATTCACCCCTACATATTTAAACTGGACTTGCCCAGTCTTTGATTTGGTTAGGTTTAAATGTAACTTTAGGGGTGAATGAAATGAATTAACTTAAAAATGTATATTTCAACATTTCATTTATTTTGAACTAAAATCTCTTTTAACAATTAAAATCTCCAAATCTTCTGCGAGTTTGTTACATTTTCTTTACTCTGTAACTGCTAATTGTATCTTTATGACATAACCGTATTTCCTTCATTTATTTTGTCTTCATCTAATCAGTTTGTGGTGTTTGGAAATACGTAATACTAGTGTGTGAATCTTATAACCAGAAAATAACAACCAGTTTATAGAAATATCAGGGTCCAGGGTTGTTAATATGTAAGATGTCTATTTTACCTGTTATCATTTTATCAATGATAATAATAATATACACAGCATTTAAATAGTGCCCGGTACAATTTTCAAAGTTACTCTTAAGTGCTTTACAGTACTACATAATCAAAAGTAATTTTCAATAGTCACTTATACTATTTATATTTATTATATTATTCAACATGCATATATGTGATTATTGTGCCTTTTCATTTTATGACATCAATCTTAATTGTTTTCTTTGCAGAATGTTACGTTTATTTGATTTTCATTGTTTATAAAATCTCAATTTCTATGTTTCTGTTTACAATTTATGTTTGTTAATCATTATATTCTGTTACTTGATATTTCTTCAAAAACTGCATCATGGACAAATATTTTCCAGGAGCGTGATTGGATCGATGCTGATAATGAACTTTAACATTTTAGGCTAAGAGCAACATGAAGAGACAAATAAGTGGCTACATTGTATACTCGGGGGAGATCCGCAAACACATTCAACAGGAAAACCCTGACTGTACATTTGGGGAGATAAGTCGTATTGTGGGACTGAAGGTAACATGTTAGTGTGACTGCACCTCCGCCTCGATGTTGTGGTCTCCATAGTAGATATTTGCATGTGCATTGCATGACTTTTATATTGTTGCATGCTTTTGGTAAATTGTAGGAGAAGCCCCGTCGCCACCCAAGTGGTTACATATTGTTTTCCAAAGAAATGCGCAAAGTGATCACGCAAGAGGCCCCGTCTACATCTTTCGGAGAAATAAGTCGTTTAGTCGGAGAGAAGGTAATTGAGTCAGAAAATTATTGAAACTTTAACAGTTTTTACCATATCATAAATATGTAACTCTTCTGACTATTAAATCTATATTTAAGTATAATTACAAAACCAAATTCTCTCCTTTCTAAGTTTGTATAAAAAAGAGGAAATAACTATAGGATATTCAATATAAATGGAATTTATCCAAGATTTGAAAATTAAGTATTTACTTAAGAGAAAGCCAGTTACTTTATTAGTAATATCTGTCAAAATCAATATACAGTTGATCCTCGTTAATGCAGAAACTTTGGTCCCCAGAAGAAAAATGTCAAGGTGAATGAATTACTAGGTTTAACGATATATCAACTTTGTAGATGATATCCTCACGAAGCTACAAATCGGTTACCTCTTACACAGTAATAATGAGTACCATAGGCAAGATCACAGTGTCATGTTGCATAGAAGTCTGGTTTCTGGTCATACACTCAGGTGTTTGCATGGGTACCAGGTAATCATTTGGCCACTGACCTGTGTCATTTGATGTCAAATCATTGTTTTTGGACTGGAAGATATTTTTTATTAATGAGAACTAAGGTTCCTGATAGAAAAAGGCTTCTAGTCCAAAACTTTTCAGACTTTGTTTTGGCTATCAAAAATTTAATATGTGACATTTTGGATTAGTGAGTGCAATTAGCATTATGGAAATCAGTTGCAAAGTGTCTGTATTAATGAGGTATGACTGTAACTGATGAATGCTCTGCTATCTTCTATTCTGTCTCCCACTGGATGACCTGGTCGTACTTCCTAAGAATGCATTCTGTATTTTCTGTCATCAGTCTCGCTTCAAAACAAGCTTTCGTTTAGATCGTGGTGTGAGTGCAATCGTTCTTGAATTTCAAAATTTTATTATTTATTTCTATTAATAATTTATTTTATTTTCATTTTATTTCCACTTTTAAATTATTTTAGTTGCTTGATGGTAGTTTGAGTTTAGGGAGATTCCTTCCCCTATATTTTATGGAATGCTTTATTTTTCTTCGTATTTGGATCATGTTTTGTTGTTCACCTGAATGTTGTAAGTAATGGATGTTGTAGCTCACAAAATAGATGTTGTAGTTTACATTATAAATGTTGTGAAATATGGAATGAGGTGTATTCCAATGTGAATGGACTGGAACTGTTTTTGCATGAAGAAAATTTCTCAACTGAGTTTTGTTAAAAAAAGAAGAAGAGAGAATGCAATTCTATTTTTGCCATATGCTGTTGAACTGGTAAAGAACAATGATATAGAAAATGCATGCAAGGTGAAGATCTGTTGTCTCTTACTAATTAAGGGTGGAAGGTTGTTTGTATACTGTTTATTAGTGAGTTTAAGGCAGTGGCATATCTACCGGTATTTTCATTTTACACTTAAACAGTAGAAATGCCACATGTACTGTAAAACGAATCAACAGGCATCAATATTTAGTATCAAAGGAAATTTCTTCGTTTCATATCCTTAGCTAGTATAGTCTGGAAGATTTCTGGTCTGTGTTGTACACATGTACTACAACTGTGGTACCATATCCTCACTTAATGCCAGATAACGTGTTACATTTATATTGAAATTGAAATTTCTGATAAATAATAAGTCAGTTTATGTCTTTCTCTCTGATAAAATAGAGGAATGCATTGAAAGAAACAAAAAATTGAGTATACAAATGTTTTTCTTCAAATTGTTTTCATCATGAAGGGGAAATATTCCATAAGATATTTACTCTTATACTCTTACTTCTTTATATGATGAGTTAAATTTCCGTTCAGTGATAATTTATCAGTGAGGTTCATTTAAATGATAGTATGATGTTTACTTTTTCGCATGGTTATGTAATGTGGGGATGTTGATACTTATAACCTTATAAGGATATAGGGGTTATTAACATCTGAGCTTGCTGGTGTCTGAGAGCAATGTACCAGCATCTGGATGTGGTGGGCGGCCAGACCTTGTTGGCTGTAACACATCCACTAGTTTAGTGCTTTTATCTAAACATCTCTTTGTGCATGCCAGTTAAATTGCATGGATTTATGCATTTCAGATAAATCATGTATATTGTTATGTCACTATTATGTCATAAAACTACTATGACTTTTTAAACTTTCATGTTTTTCCAAAATATTTCCTGAAAAAATTAAGGAAGTCTTAAGAGGCCTGAATGAAGAATCTCTGCCAACAGTAATGCATGTTACATTATGAATTAAAGTCTTCTAGATCACGCATGAACCATGTTCTAAATTATCACTTCCTCTTGTCTGGCATTTGTTTGAAATAAAGTGATAATGGCTTACAAGACAATTGAAATTATAATAATGAAAATATTAATAATATCATAATGAAATTATAATATAAAAAAAAGGACATTGCCTATATTCCCATTCTGTTAAATCAGTCGAGTCCCCTTTTATCTAATAATCATATTTCCATAATAAATTTTTGTTATTTTCTTATCTTGAAACAATATATAATGTATCTCATTGATATTATACATGCAGAGTGTGACATTGTTTGATATTCGTTTAGTGGAGGAATTTGACAAAGGAAGAAAAAGAAAAATATGAGGATAAAGCAAAGAGAGTTGCAGAAGAACAACAAGCCAAACAGCAAGAAGCAGAGCGAGCCTTCAATGAGTCCCTCAACCGTTCCCAGAGTCCCTGGGACGGGGGACGAGCTTCCCCGGGCTCCTCATCTCGACCCATGACCCCAGGAGGTAAGTCACCTAGTCCCTAACTACTCGCAGAGTGCCTGGGACAAGAGACTGCCTTCGTCAGGCTCTTCAAGTTGACCTTTCACCCCAGGAGGTAAGTAACAAGTCTTTAAACTGCTCCAAATGTCCCTGGGAGAAGGGACGATCTTCTTCCGTCTTATAAATTGACCGGCACCCTAAGAGGTATTGGTAAGTAATAAGTCCCACACTCAATCTAGATATCCCGGGGATGGAGAATATATTTTAGTTATCACACATCACTGTACAATCTCTGCAGTGATGGACTGACAAGACTACTATAAAGTCCTACCATCTCTGTAACAAGAAGCCCCCCCCCCCTTCAATGAAATATATCATGTTGCATCAGAGCTGCAGTAGAATTTTCGTTGTATTCAGTCCCAAAATACTACACTTAGAATGTTGATTCTCTTCAAAATAGATGCAGCTTGAAAAGAAATGTGGATTTGAACTAACATCTTACTATACATTTGAAATTGTCTCTTTACTCAGTTCTCCAGTGGTATATAAGGATTTCTGAACACCCACAATTTGTAGAATGTACCAAGTAGATGTCCTACCATGTAACAAGGGCTGGAGGTACACAGGATAACTGGAAACTTGGTTACCAAGGATACAGTTTTGGCCTTTTATATACGTAGCAGAAGCTGGTGGTGGTACGCTGCTTAATAGTTCCCTATTGTTGTAGTTTTGCTTAAATTAAAAGGATATCTTTTGTCCATTTTATTGGCCCATAAAAACAGATACACAGGTGGTGGTACGCTGCTTAATAGTTCCCTGTTGTTGTAGTTTTGCTTAAATTAAAAGGATATCTTTTGTCCATTTTATTGGCCCATAAAAACAGATACACAGCCAGCTGGTGGTGATATGCCGAGTAGCTTCCTCTTATTTACTATATTATTTTTGCTTCAAATAAAATATGCTTTGTGTTCACACTACTGGCCTGGTATACACACAGCCAGCTGGTGGTGGTATGCCGAGTAGCTTCCTCTTATTTACTATATTATTTTTGCTTCAAATAAAATATGCTTTGTGTTGACACTACTGGCCTGGTATACACACAGCCAGCTGGTGGTGGTAGGAGGAGAAGTTTTGTTTTATGCTGTATAACTTTTGCATCAATTAGAATGATAGTATTATTTTGGCTTTTGTGTGCTTTGTTATTAGTATGCTCACTGTTTTGTGACTTTATTTTGCCGCGCTGCTTTTTACTTAACATTCTTATTTTATACCAATATGTTATGTACTTTTGTGCTCATATTTTGGCATTGTTATCCCTGCTGAGACAAGTTGAGCCGTCAACAATTTAAACAGCGCTTTCCTGACTGAAAATATCATTAAAAAAGATGTTTTGGTTTATCATCTTTTGCTTAAATGTTTTACAGACAGATTCAAGAAAGAGTCACTTTCAATCAAATCAATTACAGTGGAACTTTTCTAAACCTGCCTTTTTTGGGACAGAAACACTTGGCTGGGTTAGGGAGGGTTTGGGTTGCAGAAGTGAATGTAGTTGACCCGGATCCGGATAAAGCTGCTCTGATGTTTTTTGTACAGTATATGAAACATATCATTTGCGATAGATTTGTCACAGGTAACCTTCGGGGGGAAAAATGATAAATTATCTGATCGTGTAAACAGTTTTTGTACATAATTCTAGATGAGAATAAACCCATTGTTAACCAGACTCATTAACTCCCTACATTCAGTCTGTTACTATACCTTGTGCTAGTTGTAGTAAATGTTTGTATCATAAGAAAGAGTAAATTTGATTGAACAATGAAAGTCTGCGTTAATTAGCATAACGTCATTACCCGTTATAACATTCCGTGATGACTTCCCTCTCGTGTGTATGTATCTGATGTAAGAATAAACCCTATGAAGCCTCATGCAAATCAGGTGCGAATCAGTGGCTTTCTAGCTCTGTTTGTTCTGATAGAGTCTTGAGATCTATCAGGGGTGAAACATGTGATGATTCAGCTTTGTTTCTACTTGGCCGTGTTGATAACACACTGTATATTACTAACAATCCTTTCAGTGTAGCTACTGTTTTTAAAACATTATTAGCAGGTGCCCCAATCTAAGCCACAATGCGTTCAAACACTCCTGTCACAGATGTTGATTTCATGGTCCGTTTGTTGAACCTCGTGAAAGAGTAGCTCTGGTAAGGCTGGTTTTCAAAGTGATTTGGAGAATATTTCAACTATATCAGTCAGATAATGAGATCGATGTCAGATAATGAGATCGAAGTTCGGGATTAAGAGGGATCAATATTGGGAAGTTCATTATTACTATAATAAAACACCATTTTGTTCGTTCTGAGTTGGTTATCGTTTTAAAGAAGGATTGGTCTAGGGAAGTTCCACTATATGTCAATAACGCAGCCACCAGATTAGAGTCGGACTCATTGAATTAAAAAAAAACATGCAAAAATCACCCACAAAAAATCGATAATGCCATTTTAGGCAAAACATAAATTTTAGTAAGGATGAAATATTAAAATTCACGGTAACCATATTAATCTTAAAAGAATAATTGCATATTGCCCATTGAAATGTGCAGATAGTTGTCCCCCCAACCCAGTGCTTGTTTTTAGGCATTTTTGTTTTTTCTGTTGTAGTTTTTGTAGACAGCTATTTTGAATGTTATGGTTTCGTTTGCAGGCTACCAGGGTCAATACAATTATCAGGGTTATGGTACACCACAAGGTGCTCAGACTCAACAATATGCACCCATACAAGGTAAGCTAGGTGTTCTGGTGACCACACCTACTGTAGGGTATCTGATACTAATGATCACCAGGCGTCCGGCCGCAGGTGTGTGTACTAACAAACTGCTGGGCGAGGCCTTCCAATGGTTACAGGGCTTCATACGGTCACAAATGTACTTCTTAGGTACACCAGCAGCCACATCACTTTACGGGTACACCAGGGGAGGCTAGACCATTCACTGATTAGGATACTTTAAAAATATGAAAAATATTAAACCTGAATCGTTAGTCACAAACACTTATTTGTGACACTTCCATATCACTTATAGAGGTACGCTAGGTGAGGCTTGACCATTCCACATCACTTGGAGAGGTACGCTAGGTGAGGCTTGACCATTCCACATCACTTATAGAGGTATGCTAGATGAGGCTTGACCATTCCACATCACTTATAAAGGTATGCTAGGTGAGGCTTGACCATTCCACATCACTTGGAGAGGTACACTAGGTGAGGCTTGACCATTCCACATCACTTGTAGAGGTACGCTAGGTGAGGCTTGACCATTCCAGAAGAATACCACGGCCTTGGTATTCTGTACATTTATCTACTTGTAAAGGGGTATTCCAGGGAATGAATTTATATCACATCTGACACGCTTCAATGGATATACTGTACATACTTGCAGTAGCTGACAGCTTGGCTTGTGAATGCAAAAGTACTTAGCTTGCAGTCAACTTATCATGTCACATGAAGAGGTGATGAACCCACTGGGAGAACTACTGCTTCAGCCCTTATTTAAAGAGCATTTTAGAATAATGAAGTTTATATCAGTAGATTATGGAGACGGAAAAAAAATGAAAAGTTTCAAATCTATAAAATTTCACATCGATTTTATAAGTACAAATTGCTTGTAACATATACATTAAGTGATTAAGATCAAGAAAATTACAGACACCACTAAAAGTGAGAATCAGCGTCCTTCACTGTAAATAATTTACTTCACATTGTTTATTAAATCAATAATTAAGTATTGTTTACTCAACATAGTTAACAACCCTTTCACTACTGTAGACCATAATGGACTCATCCAGATCAATGCATGGTAGAGTCTACTAAAGTTACATAGGGGTGAAAGGGTTAAATAAGAGATCTAACATGCTGGCGTTGGAAGTAAGTAATTTGTCAGGTGCACAAATAATAAAATAACACCTAACTGTACTGATGTCTGTCAAAGGAACACTTTACTAAATGGCCAGACATGTCAGGTCTTCAAACCATCGTTGACCATTCAGTGACCACTAGAGCTTTGAATATTGTTGCATGTGCATGTGAGCTTTTTAGAGTAGTCTGGTTGTTTGTGTAGTACTGGCACTGACAGTTAACAGACACGGACAACATCACATGTCTAAGTGATGGTAAGATTTCAGCCCTTATCCACGAGAGAACTGTCCTGATTGAAGCTAAATGTGGGAATCATGATGCAAAGAATTTGACAGACACCTTCTGACTCGGTTAAATTTCCTGCAGTTTTTACGTCCACTGTATGTCGGGAGTAGGAAGCCCCAAGCAGGGGCACACATGGTCTCCCATAGGTTGTTATCTCCTGCTGTACATCTATACAGCATCTCTGTACTGGATTGCATGTAGAAGGGGATACACTTCTTTTATATTTATTGTTACTTGAATATCATTCCTGCATGAACTGTTTCCAAGGAAATTTGATTTTTTATGTGGTTTCTACGTTGTCTGATAATAAGCTTATCAAATTTTATTGATGAAAGAGATACAATAATTGGGGAATTTCTTTTACTTTCATAATAAATTGATCTTTATATACTGCAGAAAAGCTTATTACAAGACACATTAATTGGTTTATTTTACTATTTGATTGTGAATGGATTTTACAATGTCTTGAATATTATTTTTATACTTGATCCCACAATGGTTTGCTTGATGACATTTTCCCTTTAAAACTTGTGTAAACAAATGAGGGCTGATTTGCACAATTTGATTCTAATCATTAAACCGTCTGAAGTTTAAACTTTACAATGCCTGATACATCAAATTTTTGTGACATTCAGATTTTTTTTCTTTTTAAAGTGTAATGTTTTCAAGAAAAAGCAATATTTCATGGACTGCCCTAAGATGACAGTTGCATAAAACAACAATCATTCATGATATGTAATGAATAAGATAGCACTCAGTTACACAGGTTTTGAGGTGTTGTGATTTATTTTGTTGTTGGCCGTTTGTTGCTGTAGCTTTTTGGTATGGTTTTCCTTTGATTTTATTTGCGAAGGTTTACACAATGTCCCTACACCGGGGATGGTGCCGCGCCCAGGCCAGGGGATGTCGCCCATGACTCCGCAGCGCCAGTACATGCCCTACACCCAGCAGTCACACTCAGGGATGCGCCCTATGTCTATGGGTCAGGGACCCTACCCTGGCAGCCCCCAGGGTCAGCCTCATACACCCCACCCAGGCATGGCTAGCCCCCACCCTGCTATGTCCCCAGGGCCTACCCCTGGGACTGTGGCAGTCTATCCGGGAATGCCTCCTAGTCCGCATGCGGGTATGCCACCCCAAAGCATGGGTCAAGGTAGGAGAAGCAGTGTGTCGGAGGTTTCAATTTTACGAAATACATCTTGGACTTATCTTATCCTCGTTTGAATAGGTTTGGCAGCTGTTTTAGACATGTGAGCCAAATATTTCAGTACCTTAGAACTGCATTTGTTTTCACCGTTTAAAGTGCAAGTAACAAACTAATCAAGACAAGTACAAGGTAAATGACACTTCTTTTTGAAGAGGAAGTAATTAATAAATGTATCGGAGAATTGAAACCAAAGAACATGAGACTAGTGCCTGATTAATGGTCTCCCCACTAACTAGACCCTGCCTGTATTAACCTAACAGTAGGACCACACACAGTGTTATAACTATACAGAATCATAGGACTTGAACAGGTTGTAGTTAGATGCTAAGTCTATAGATATCTATACAAAGATATACAGTCAAACTTTGATGTTTTGAACTTTGCGGGACCATCGGGACAAATTCGAAGCATCAAGATTTTCTACTCACAAAGATTGAACATCAAGATTGTGCAAATCAAGCAGATTGTGATTTTTATGTGACAAAACACTAGCTAAGAAATTTGATTCTAAAGTAGGACCTTTCACAAACAGTGTTACTGTAGGATCCGTTGCATACAGTTTTACCTTAGGACCCATAGCCTACAAGCATACAGTTTTACTGTAGGATCCGTTGTATACAGTTTTACCTTAGGACCCATAGCATACAAGCATACAGTTTTACTGTAGGATCCGTTGCATAGAGTTTTACCTTAGGACCCATAGCATACAGTGCTTCTGTAGGACCAATAGCATACAGTACTACTGTAGGACCCGTCGCATACAGTTTTACTGTAAGATCCGTTGCATAGAGTTTTACTGTAGGATCTGTTGCATAGAGTTTTACCTTAGGACCCATAGCATACAGTACTACTGTAGGACCCATAACATACAGTACTACTGTAGGACACATAGCATACAGTGCTACTGTAGGACCGATAGCACACAGTGCTACTGTAGGACCCATAGCATACAGTACTGCTGAAGGACCCATAGCATACAGTACTGCCGTAGGACCCATAGCATACAGTACTGCCGTAGGACCCATAACATACAGTACTGCCTTAGGACCCATAGCATACAGTGCTACTGTAGGACCCATAACATACAGTGCTATAGCATACAGTACTGCCGTAGGACCTGCTGTAGGACCCATAGCACACAGTACTGCCGTAGGACCCATAACATACAGTACTGCCGTAGGACCCATAGCATACAGTGCTACTGTAGGACCCATAACATGCAGTACTGCTGTAGGATCCATAGCATACAGTGCTGCTGTAGGACCGATAGCCTACAGTGCTACTGTAGGACCCATAACATACAGTGCTACTGTAGGACAGATAGCATACAGTGCTACTGTAGGACGCATAGCATACAGTACTACTGTAGGACCCATAGCATACAGTGTTACTGTAGGGCCCATAGCATACAGTACTGCTGTAGGACCCATAACATATAGTGCTACTGTAGGACCGATAGCATACAATGCTACTGTAGGACCGATAGCACACAATGCTACTGTAGGACCCATAGCATACAGTATTGCTGTAGGACCCATAGCATACACTACTGCCGTAGGACCCATAGCATACAGTACTGCCGTAGGACCCATAGCATACAGTACTGCCGTAGGACCTATAACATACAGTCTACCATAGGACCCATAACATACAGTGCTACTGTAGGACTGATACCATACAGTGCTACTGTAGGACCCATAGCATACAGTATTGCTGGAGGACCCATAGCATACACTACTGCCGTAGGACCCATAGCATACAGTACTGCCGTCGGACCCATAACATACAGTCTACCATAGGACCTATAGCATACAGTGCTACTGTAGGACCCATAACATACAGTGCTACTGTAGGACTGATAGCATACAGTGCTACTGTAGGACCCATAGCATACAGTGCTACTGTAGGGCCCATAGCATACAGTACTGCTGTAGGACCCATAACATATAGTGCTACTGTAGGACCCATAGCATACAGTGCTACTGTAGGACCCATAGCATACAGTGCTGCTGTAGGACCCATAGCATACAGTGCTGCTGTAGGACCGATAGCATACAGTACTGCTGTAGGACCGATAGCATACAGTGCTACTGTAGGACCTATAGCATACAGTGCTGCTGTAGGACCGATAGCATACAGTGCTACTGGAGTACCGATAGCATACAGTAGCACTGTATGTTATGCGTGCTACAGCAGTACTGTAGCACCCATAACATACAGTGCTACTGTAGGACACATAGCATACAGTGCTACTGTAGTACCGATAGCATACAGTACTGCTGTAGCACCCATAACATACAGTGCTACTGTAGGACCCATAGCATACAGTGCTGCTGTAGGACCGATAGCATACAGTGCTACTGTAGGACACAAAGCATACAGTGCTACTATAGGACACCTAGCATACAGTGCTACTGTAGGACACATAGCATACAGTGCTACTGTAGGACCGATAGCATACAGTACTGCTGTAGGACCGATAGCATACAGTGCTGCTGTAGGATGGATAGCATACAGTGCTACTGTAGTACTGATAGCATACAGTACTGCTGTAGCACCCATAGCATACAGTGCTACTGTAGGACCCATAGTATACAGAACTGCTGTAGGACCCATAGCATAAAGTGCTACTTTAGGACCCATAGCATACAGTGCTACTATAGGACCCATAGCATACAGTACTGTTGTAGTACCCATATCATACAATTTTACCAGAGGAACCATAGCATACAGTGCTACTATAGGACCCATAGCATACAGTGCTACTGTAGGACCGATAACATACAGTGCTGCTGTAGGACCGATAGCATACAGTGCTACTGTAGGACCCATAGCATACAGTGCTACTGTAGGACCCATAACATACAGTGCTACTGTAGGACACATCTGTTAGTGTTACTGGAAACCAGAGAACCTGGAGATTGTTGTAACAAGTTCATGTTACTACAGCTAACCAATAATATAAATAACTAAGACTAAGACAAATAATGAAGTACCTACATGTTGTGTAGGATTTTATTTAAATATAAACTCTCTCTACTTTTGTCCATTTCTTCAGACATTGTTATATACAGTGAGAAATGAGATGTGATTTTTTTTTATTGTACACGCATAGAATAGAGAAAGTGAAAATTGATTTTAACATCTTGAACAATCTAGCACATATAAACATTCCTTTAGGTTTTAAAGGCAATGCCTGTGCTTAATCCGTTTGTACATTAATTTGGTACAATGAACTTGATTTCAAATGTGTAAAAAAAGGATATGAAAATTAAAAACTGTTAGAAATGAGTTTTAAAAATCTGAAATGAAAATTACTGCTTTTGTAGTGTTACAATAAACATAATGGAACGTTTAGCAGATATTTAAAAAAACAAAACAGAAACAACATTATAATTTCGGCAATTCAAAAATTCCTCAAACTGTGATAATAATCCTTTGAATATTGTGTATTTCCTTGTTGGTTAGATGATGTGTAGGATGCATGCTCAATGGTATGGGTGCTATCCTCTTTGACAGTAAGGTACCAGCTGTAAAGCATGTCATTACTGCTGTCGGTACTGTGGGAGTTGCCTCAGTTGATGGTGTAGCATGGTGAATGTGATTCCTGTATATACATGTAGTGTTATGCTCCTACAGGTGGTGTAGAGAATGTACCCACATTCAAATACATTACCAGCTTGTGTTATGCAGAACGAATCACGACAAAAAAAAGAAGATATGTCTCAGTATCAAACTTCAGCAATATATATATATTATACAAGATAATTTTCATGCATAATTCAAAACTAGTCTGTAAGAGTTCATTTAAGGATATAGATAGGCCTAGGGGAAACCAGACAGATTCATTTTTTATTTTTTCAAAATTGATTGCAAGTATATAACATCCTATATCGAAAATAAGTAATAGTATTGAAATATGTATACTTGTTTTGGTTATAAAATGTAAATTATACTCATAAATGTGTCAAATACTGTGGTTAAAGGATCCCTGTACCACTGCCAAAAACTATACCTTAAATGTTGAAAACTGCTTTTTCTGGCATGGCTATATATATATAGCTTTGATAAATCATTCCTGAAAAGAAAACCATACCTTGTGGGACTTTTATGAAAAAATAATACAAATATTAAAGATGAAATAAAAAGATATGATCAACAATAGTGTTTTGAGTGTAAATGAATGATGGGGCTTAGCTAGACTGGGGTCCAAACCCTGGACTTCAGGTTGTTGTGCTATTGCTCTTAGCTGATTGGGCTACCTGGTCAATGGATGTGTCCTGGCCCAACTCTTCTATGGTGATATCCAAACGGAAGTTAAGGGGAGGTTACTGTATACAGAAAAAAATCACACTGCAGTGAGACAAAGATCCTTTATATTGAATATGCATACCCGGGATCCAAACAGTAGTATGTACCAGTTACATAACGTGTGGATTACCACAATAATCTACCAAGTCATGGCTTGTCTTTGATAATTACAACTTCATAGAGGTCTCACTCTCTCATTTTGACTAAAAAATTACCAATCTCCCTTGAAACTCCCACATTAAAGTAGTCCAAACTCACACCAACTCAAAATTTACATAATTTGGTCAAATGATCTCTTAGTTACTGCAGGGTGTGACCATTACAGGTGTGTCTGAATCAAATTACTGTGTTTTGAATTTATTTTGAAAGATAAATTGAGCAAAGCAGTTTCAGTCCCGTTTCATGCATTTTGTCCCTCATTTCCAGGAAATGTGGAATAAGGGAGATCTCCCTTATTGGAGTTTACAGAGGTTGACACCTAGGCAACTTGTGTTATACCAAGTTAAAAGTGAAAAAGTGCATGGAAACATTTCAGGAGATTATAAAACCACAATTACAATAATTCCAGAGCATATATAAGCAGATTTGCCATTTTTTTTTACTTTTCATCTCCATCATTTTCTTCAGTCTCAAACTTGTCTGCACTTTTCCGAGTAACTGCTGATCCAGAGCTGATACTTTAATGATGATTACTTAGTAAGGCTAAATATGCAGCGAGTATGTTTATTCAAACTTAATTTATTTGAATATCTTGTACCATAACTTTTGAAATCATCATAATTCTTAATGACTTAATGACGAATATGTCATGACCTTTAACTAAACTTTGGGATCAAAATAGTTCAAATCTTTCGAACTCGAAGTCAATGCTGATAGTTTTTCAATGTTACAAAATCTTGTTTTGCATTTTGACTTATCCAGGTTTGAAGATGTGTATGACAAACCCCATTATTATATAAGCATGTGTTCAAAATTGCATGTATGGAAAAATTCAATCTGAGCACTTGTCTTACTGAGTGAGAATATGTTGGATTGTTTTCCTGAGCCCCTTGTGTCTATTGTCAACCCTCAAAAACCCATTGTCACCCTCGAGGTTTTGTGGTTTTTGAGGGTTGACAATATTCACTGTGACCTGCTAATGAATGTCATATTTATATAATATTTTGAAATAGCAGTGGAGTTGCCCATTAATCTATGGGTCTTAGGAATAAACATTGTGACATGGAATTCATGAGATTAGGTGTCTTAGGAATATGTACCTATGTTTCTAATACTGACATATATAGGTATGTGTTTCAATTGTTTGAACTGGAATGCTTACTTCAAATAGGGTGATTACATGTACAGTATGTTCCGAAGGGTGAAAATGGATATAGTATTTATGTATTGTTAATACTGACAAACATTTGGTGAAGGCATTAATGGCACAAATGATGGTTTTTGATATTCACCAAAAAAAAAAGAGGAAAAAACCCCAGAAAATAAAGGGTATACATAGATACCTGTAAATTGATGCACACGTTTCAAAACTTCAAGCGACAAAGTTATTTGATTTTGTTTTCTGGAAGAGAAACACATGATAGATTTTATTTCATATAACTTAAAATAATGTGCTGAAAATGTTATTGCACTTAAAGTAGTCAGAAGTTTTTGAACTAAAAAAAAGTAATTGATTCTGTACTATCATGATCAAATCTGAATCTGTGTTAATTTGGTCATTTAAAAATGCAATTGCTTAGTTTGAAATATGGTGAAGTACACACAATAGTTATATAAAGGTATACCTTCAGTTGTCTGCATGGTGGTCCTGAAGCTCTCTGGTAAGTTATATTCATGACATGCAACTTTTGTTTTTGTGTTTTGCAGGTCCCCATATGGCACCTCCACCCCCACCGCCACGTCCCCCATCTCCAATGTTCGTGAGTGTACCTCCCAGAACACAGAGACTGCTGCATTCAGAGGCATACCTAAGGTAGGAACTATACAGCAGAGGGTGTACTGCATTATATCGTTTCAACGATGGCTTCTCAGGAAATTGTTAATAGAAACAGTCTTAACGTCTTTGTCATTGTATAAAATTCACCTAAAAGTATGAAGTCTTATGACATTCTGCATATGGCACTGACGGGGTTAATTAGTTGATAGGTTCTGATAAGTTGTAGTTTTTTTCTTGTGTAATACATTTTTTAAAGTTAAAAAAAAAAAATGAAAAAGATTTACAATGATAGAGCTTTAATGGATGACTTTCATGAGTCTTAACAATATGGTACACTTTGTGAACCCCTAGACAGAGTATCACAATTGAGTTCTCATTGCAGATGATTTTACGGTAAGCCCACCTGGCACAAAGAGGGATCTAAATTCATTTGAAATACTGTATATATCCTACAATAGGCCCGGGTGGGGCCAACGCATAATATCTGACTCAAAGTTAGAATGGGCTTATTACAGGACAATGAAATGGCCTTTATTTTTTTCTGACCTGCAATAGATATGACTAAGCTTGTTACCAGGCATGAGTTTATTGTATGATAAATAACCTTGGCAGATTTTGAAGGTCACAGGGATCAAATGTATTTAGAAAAAGAAATAAAACCAAACCAGGTGGGAAAATGAGGCCTTTGGGCCTAGAGTTTATGAGTATCAGATGGACTGGTCACAAGTTTGAGATTCTTGTTACCATATTTCAATCAAAGCATGCACAACATTTCCTTTATTAGCACCACCAGTTTTGACAGGAGGTTCTGGTGTTGTATTTCTCCTTGTGACATCATGATAGGTGATATTACACATTACTTATCAATCAAGTATGTAATGGTGTTGCATGTATTACACTGTATAACAGCTGGAGTATATACAGAATTTCATTTTCCCTTATATTCAAATTTGATGATCAGATAGTCTGATCTCTAATGCATGTATCTGTAACTCTTTTAAACCCAGAGTAACCACGTGTTATCTAGGGTTTCAAACAAATACATATGTTCTATACCTTCAGATACATAGAGGGACTAAGTGCTGACAAGCCACACATCAGTGACTGGGAGAAAAACCTGGCTTCCACTTCAGATAATACTCTCACAGACGAGAGTCGTCTGCCTGCCCATTGGCTGGCCCAAGGTGCTGGTTACCATGGAAATGTCACAGATGCATTATGGGCATTACGAGATCTTATGATGAAGGACACAATGAACATATCTCGCACTCTCCCGTTTGAGGCTCTGTGTAAGTTTGGAGACACATGGTCACAATTTACTGCAAAATAGGTCAAGTTACTGACTTGTACACCTGAACTCATAGTTTTGCTCATCAGCAACAATTTCCATTTTAAATGTTTCATGATTTAGTGCAACAGCTACGATAGCAATAATCATAATTCCAATTTTTCGAAATCAGTCTGAAAAGATTTCTGTTAAAATAAGTTCTTTCAGTTAGATGATTTTCACGAATATGATGGGCAGGGAAGTGTAATACATAATGAAATACGCTTGTTCACATTTCAGTGTCTGAATTCTCTAACAATGATACTTATATTACTTTGTTTAGCTTGTCCCTTTTTTATGCCCGTCGTAAAATGGAAATATGACTGGCAGTGATATCTCACATGGTCAAGTTAAGTATTTATAACAAAATTGGGTTTGTGTAAAAAATAAAAAATAAAGGATCTGCATTTCATTATAGATTTAAGGGAATAAATAGGAATTTAACTTCCTAAGTAGAATCATAGAGTTCATATTGAAAACATTATGATGATTTTGTTTCAGGATTGTAAAGAAGTTAAGTGGATGCCACTTAAAATACCTTCTAATGCCACATGCCCTGCCGACAAATTTAAAGCTCTTCCGGGATGGAGTGGGGCAGCGTGACCAGTGTCGTAAAGTAGGTCGCTGACGACTGCTGGATATGAGGAGATTCGCTGTTGTATCGCGCCCGTGTTGTGATGTACCACTAGTGGGCAAAATTTGCTATTTTGTGGGTTCATACTGTTGAATTTTGTAGTGTCTATATGTTTGAAATTGCCCTTGATGTGTTCAACATTGCATTAGTTTCATTGGAGTTATCCAAGATGTAGAGCATCGTCAGCATTTAGGGACATCATTACTTTGAGACAACAAAGGACAACAACGTGTGGGCATCAAAACCAGTTAGGACGGATATCAGCCTGAGTGACAGAAATGGTGTTTATGGTCATCAAACAGTGCTGCAGAATTTAAATATACTGACAGGAACAGGTTTCTCTGTTTCTCTATATATTTCTCAGCCTGCCATACTTTTGAATCTCAACAGTGACTCTTAATATCAAAATGAAAGAGACTTCACATACAAAATCAATTCAATAAAATCAAAATAAAGCAAGCTATTACAATAGTTCCAAAATGAAGAAGGAATTTTAAGATGCGAGAGAAAGATTTTTACATTAGTTAATCTCTTTCTTGGACAAATGCTGATTAAAATTCGGTTTTTTGTTTGTTTGTGAAAGTTGTTATGATCCACCATCAAACCATGGCCCTCATTATCTCAAAACCATGTGTCGTATTTACACAAAAAAAAATGGGATGTTTTGGAACCAAAGTTTGGTACTTTGTTGTGAGTCTCAGGGACGTAGTGGCATTTTGTTCAAATCTGAATGTGTGAAGAATGGTGAATATTTGATTGACATAAGGGCTGTTCTAGAAATAAATAAAATGGGATTGGATGGGGGGGNTTTTCTGGGCCTCAATATACAAATGTCAACAACTATTTTATATTTTAGACCCCATTAGACATGTTTTATCAATATGTTCCTCCCTGCCCCCATACATTTTATATCTAGAATATCCCTAATTGTGTGTTTAAGGTGTGTGTGTGTGTGTGTGTGTGTGAATGCACATGAATTATACATGTGCATCTTTGTACAGGTGTTGGTGTGTGAATTGGTAGTTAGGTTAAAGGATTAGGGGGTTCTCTATTAGTTGGTGCAGAAACAATGAAATATTTTACGCTGCATAATTTCACTACATTGTGTTCAACTAAACAAAACTGCTTGAACCCGTCAGCATTCTCAGAATAAAGTTTTATTAGTCGTTGCTGTCTACGTTTTTGTTAGTCAGTTTATACTTGAAGTACCCGATGTAGTGCAATGTACTCAGTGAGTTTACTAGTGAAACAGTTGTTTTATGTAAAGTGATAACACTGTCACGGAGGCCTATTACTCAAAGCTGTATTACTGCCAAGTTGGAGGACTTCTAATTAAATGTAGTTTGATATTATATGACACATGTGAGAAAGTCTATTGAATTCCATTGTATTTATGAAACGGTGCACCATATATAACTGTTCGGACACTTATTGGAGTGTTTACTTTTGTTGGCACAAATAGATCTCACTTGGAATAATTTTCTTCACTATAACTTAAGGTTACATGCTATCTTATAAACAAACATCTTATCTCCAAAAGAGTTCCACATGGAAAACCTGTAAAATGAATTTTATGAATGTGAATTGGAACATGTTATTGAATTTTGTGATGTTAATGTGCATGTTATTCTCAATTATGAGATATTCTAATGAAAATCAAGTTAAGGAGGTAAGTTATTTTAATGCAATTTACAGGTATAATGTGTGAGGTAGCATATGACCTTAACTTACTTCTGAGACACCTTTTCTAAAGCAAGGTGTACAAAATAAAATTGGTCGACCTTCAAGATAAGGTCATGGTATAGGGTATACTAAAGTTGTGAAATTAATGAAATCCTGATTTGTTACCGTTTCAAAAGCACCTGGAATAATTACTGTTGTCAAGCAGGTATTAAGTGCAAATTCACATATTTATTTATAGAAGATGAAATTTAAATTTAAATGCATGTTGTAGATTTAAACAATACTGAAGATTCATTTAAAATTTTATTTTTTTCAAAGATATTATATTAAGCGAAACTGACCTAGTAGCTGTCTGTTTCACATGACCAAGCCTATAACTATGGTATCTGATACCCAACAGTGGCATGTATTTAATAAATAAAAAAGTCTTCTCATGAATTGAATGGTAAATACTCAAATTTTATTGGTATTGTTGAGTTTGATGTTCATGATCAGAAGCCCATCATATCCTCATGTTTTCCTGTGTGGTTCAAACACAGTACTTAGCATCACTTTAGAATGGCTAACTGTAATGTCTCCGTATCAAACCACTTTTAGCGTACTTCTCTTTTCTCTTAAGTATATCTTTGACTTGTTTTAAGTGTTGTTATATATTTGAAATGTATTAGGTGTTAACATTTTTGGACAGAATGAAGTCTACTTTATTTGTTGTCATAGTAACACTGGTTGTATCATGTGACATGTGTCTCTAGTCATGTGATGTTTTATGTCTTGTGATGTCATTATAATGTACACAAAAACAGATAAGAAACAGAAAAGTAAGTAATTTATCCAAATCAGCCAATGGGAGATCATTTATTCAAACATGAAAAACATCCTTACGAAAACAAAAACAAGTGTTTTTGTCTATTTTCTATATTTTTCTAATTTTACAAAACATATTGGCTGCAATGGATTACAATGATCTTTCGAATTATCAAAACAAAAAATAAAACGTGTTTTGGGAACACATAATAAAGCAGTCTGGGATTTTTCGAATGTCAAACTTTCAGACATTTAGTGATGGAATTCAATTTAATTGTGTGTAATAATAATGATAGTTTTTATTTCCACTTGATAACATACTGGGTCAGACTCATCATACATAATTATGGTCAAGCAAAATTAGAAATATTCACTTGTTACAACAAAGAAAGTTTTTGTTCAATTTCTGCAAGGTTTCATCCCAAGTCTCCTTTGTCAAGGTTTTTTTTCTGGAGAAACTATTGAAGACAGACTTGGATATATTTACAATTGTTTGTCAGCTTTATGTATTTGGTCCAAAAGAGTAGTAGGGTTAAATCTATAGAGAATTAAATAAATATTTACAAGATTATCTCTGCTTTGTTCATTATTTGTACCATGATCCAGCTTTTCATTTTGTTTGAATCATATTTGGTCTTGCTCACCTGTTGTTATGGTCAGGGCCACAAGAGGTTCTCGCTGAACCCTATTTAGAAGTCCTCTTTGTGGACTAAATAAATAGCCTTTAGTCATCTTTGGCTTCATCGGAATGAACTCTCCAACTTACCTAAATTAGATTTGTCTGGTGTAAAAATTAACCTTTCTGGGAACAGGGCAGCACTTTGCAGAAAGTTCACTTGCTGCTACAGTCAGAGATACTGGTGTGTCTCGTATTTTACAGTGACATATTTCCTGTTCCACGGAGCATCAGAGAAATTTGTTTTGAGACCATATTTTTCACATGCGTTTAGACAGGTTCATCAAACTCGATGTGCTGATATATCTAGACGTGAATGTGCGACATAAGGTCACCGTGACCTATATTTTCCACTCCACTGAACTATAAATTGTATTTGTTACTGGACCGTATTGATTTAATTTAATTTCAATGCAAGTTAACCCTATAGCAAAGTCATTTTAGAATTCCTGTACATTCTATGTTTTCATGTTAAAAATAAATAAATACGTAGTTGGGTGGAAGGATCTATTGTGGTGAAATTATATGGAGATTCATCTTCTTTGGGCTCGTCATCAGTGTCTTTGAGATCTCCCCAATACTGCTGTGGTCTAGGCACGAACACCTGGAGGCACACACACACTCAATTATTGACATTAAGTAAAGAACATGGTACCTAGTTGTGCATGTTTATTATTTAGACAAAATATAGAGGGTGCCAGGCAGCCATCATGATCTTTACACTAACTGTCATATTTGGTCATCACTTTTTCTCATGAAGTATTGATTTCTTTTTAAATAGTCCATAGCAGGTTCATGCTTAATTATGAAACTCATAGAACTAGAAAATGTCTAAGACATAAATGCCCCTGCTCATGGATGCGACGCGACGGACATGGGCAACACTATATGCCCCCCCATTTTATGGCGGGGGCGTACAAATCAGGATGGCTGTCGGTCAGGCATATTGGATTTTGACAGTTAAAGTTTTTCACTTTTAAAGATCTTGTTCCGATTTCTCCATCATCAGATTGTGAGATGTTCAAATTCTCTTCATCAAAGATGCATCATCCGTTCCCCAAGGGCCATTAGATGTGCAAGTTTGATTTAAGACAGATCAGAATATCAAGATGGCCATCATGCAACTATTTTGGATATTGACAGTTCAAGTTCATTATCACTTTTTATCATGAAGTACTCAAGACTGAATGGAAAAACAAGGTCGGCCCAAGGCAGCCAGCTTCTATTTTGACAGTTTCAATTGTTTTCAAGTACAAGACAATAATTCTCTCCTGTAGTTGTGCTGGTTTCATTTTAAGACTGATTGAAAAAACTTGGCTGCCTTGAATTTTGATAGTTTTTAGAGTTTGTTGTCGCTCTTTCTCAAGAATTACGTTTTTTTTTTTTTAATTCATGTTGGATTTCTTTGTCAATAGTTGTGCATGATTTTTGATGCTATTTCTCAAGACACACTTCTTTAATAATATATATGTAGGTTTTCTTTGGTCTGTAGTTTTGCATAGAAATTATTATTTTTTGAGACTTTTCGAGTAGAAAAAACAACATGGCCACCAAGCAACCATCTTGGAATTATACACTTCAAGTTTGTTATTGCCATTTCTCAAGAAGTGCATTTTCAAACTTCATTATTATATAGGTTTCTGTTTGGTCTTAAGTTGTGCATGTTTTATTATGTGGCAGAGTGGAAAAACAAGATGGCCACCAGGCTTCCATCTTGGATTTTGCCAGTTAAAGTAGGGAGGGGGCATTTTTAACACTTTTTATAACTCCTTTTACTTATTGTACTACAAAGTAACATATTTTTAAAAAGGATACTCTTCCATTCAAAACACAGAAAAAATATTGTCAATAAAAATTTCATGGTTTATTCATTGAATAAATATGACATAACAAATGAAAGATGAATGAAAATAAAATCAATGAACAGAATTTACCAGTGCATTGTAGCTACAATTGAGACTGACCATAGCTTTCCTGAAGATTTCTATCAAGAAAACACATTTTAGTTGCATGCTAATTTATACATAGTTGTAGTCAGACCCACTGATATGATGCACCAACATTGTGCATTAGATAACTGTGATAATGATACTATTGGAACTGGACCATGCTTCCAACATTATACGTATTATTCAGGGTAGCCAAAAATTATCTCATAAAATGGAACCTGGCACCCCTCAACAGGTGTAATAGACTCTCCAATACGTTCACAGTCATTCCATTGTGACATACAGGGCTGTGAGGTTAAGAGATGAGGATATGTTATATAGACTGACTTTGTATATATTGAATATTCTATACACCCTAGACACATGTTCTAACGGTAGCATGATCCAAACATTCCATATAATAGACATACATCATATCACTGGAAACGGTAGCATGATCATAACGTCCCCTATACTAGCATTCTATCACCAGGAACGGCGACATAATCCTAGCATTTCTGCTACCAGACACATACAATATACCACAGGAAACCACAGCATTTCCTATACCAGACACATAAATCCTTGTGTCCCCTATAAGGGGTTTATTCTACAGCCGGGATTGTCGGCATGATCCTAAGCTACCCCCATCAAAGAAATATATATTCTTCCACAGGAATCGCAGGCATCATCCTCGCATCCCCTATTCCAGACACATACATTCTCTTACCCAAGGAGGGAACAGTATAATATCGCCCTCTACTCGACACACATTTAACATCATCTTTTTCATTATCATACTACAGTGAATTCTATTTAAATCCAGATAGTATGTAAAGTTTTCATTATAGATGCTTCCCTTTAGGACCTCAGACAAAATGTCCCCACCCTTCCCTTCTCCAACACCTTCATATAACTACAGAAACCAATAGGTCCTATCTATTATCTTATATATCTCCAACAAATCGACATATTAAAACTTCTAACTAAAATACTGATAGCTACGGTTCACATAGCTACTTCTAGATCATAATGGATAGTTTATTTTAGTACATATGTTTCTTTTTCAAATACAGTGTATTAGGCAAACAACTATTTATATATTATTTCTTTGGGAATTAATGATTAGGTACTTTGGTATGCGTTTCTCTTTATGATTTAAGTAGGTACAGTAGGCTATTGGCTACAGACTCCTGCACTACGACCTTTGACCCACTCCTTAAGCTACTAACGAGAGTTTGCCTTTACACATTTATCTTGGTACAGCGGTACTCTACTACTAGCGTACAGATTGACCTAACCTTCAGACTCCTGCACCAAGACCTTTGACCCCCTCCTTAATCTACTAAAGAGAGTTTGTCAGTACACATTGTATCTTGGTACAGCGGTACTCTACTACTGGCGTACAGATTTACTTACCGAGTGCTGGAAAACTGTTCCAATATAATGGCATATCTACAGTCATTATATAGTCACTGAGTATTTCATTTTTACTATTTCATATTTACAAACTTTGAGTATATATCATAAACTTTCAGATTATTATACTGTATATTGGTAATTTTTTGCTGCATTTTATTTTTCGCCCTCAACAATGAAGGCAAATTTAACATGATAGCGAACATAAGTACACAATATACCATGTATAGTGATTACATGTGAAGTTTGGGCGAATGTAGATTTTACCGGTTAAGGGCGAATATTTGACTGGGCAAATAATTCCTGGTAATGGGGTATTACAAAAAAAATTATATATATATTTGAGATGTAATGTTTGTACGGGTTTACAAACCCTATTGGCTATAAAGATCAGTGTTTTCAATGATCTGTTGAATTCTGAATATTTTTCAGGATACAATTCACATGATTAGCTACCAGCACTATCCAGCAGTATTACATCCTCGTCATAAAATGTCGTGTACATCCATGATGCATAGTTTCATCTACAGACATGACTTGGGCCGCGGTGACCGAGCAGTCGAGGTGTCTGACCATCTATGACCACTCGCCCTCTACAACTTAGTCACAGGTTTGAGGCCTACATAGGACAGTCACCAGGTAATGGCCGCAAATTACTGATTTTACTCTGGATACTCTTGTTTTCCTTCACCATTAAAACCTGGCTCGTCCCTATATAACCATAGCTGGTTATAAGACATAAAGCACAGACAAGCTGACATTACCTTGAATATCAATTGCATGTCTAGGTTTTTGGTTTCTGGTGTCACGAACAGAGTTATAACTGTATCAATGGTGTTATTTTACATATCGACATTCAATTTTTGTGTGTTTTATGTTAACAACCTTTCACAGTCAGAAGTCGCACGTGAACTGTGATCATTTGTTCACTTATGAACTGTTAAAACTGACCCAGTGTAGAGTTTTACTGATAATACAGTAATTGTGGATCCATAAAAGTCACACGTCAATACACAGTTAGCCAAAAGTTACAAAAAAACAGAATGTGAGAAACAACTCTGTGAAATTATCTTGCGCGACACAATTCTGTTTGTCATGCGACACAAAGCCTAGTTTATTTGGGGAGACACGAAGTATGTGAGGTTACTGTACTTGCTGTAATTAGTGCCCAGGGCACTTTTAAACAAAATTATTAAAATAAATTGACTGAAGAGGCATTTATCAAAATAAATTGACTGAAGAGGCATTTATTAAATTGTGTCAGTTGCTGTCAAGGGGAAATAACTGTCTTGTCTTATACATTCTCAAGGAAAACTTTAAAACTCTCTGTTTTTCTCTAAAACAGATTTCACAACTGCAGTGTCAGCTCTCTAAAATAGTGTACATAGAAACGATATTTTGTTAATAGGAGAGGGCCAAAATGCAGGGTGTTTGAAAAAGGGGGTGCCTATATAATTTTGATAAGGCAGGGGCGCTTATTACAGTAAATACAGTATCTTGTGAGACCCAGATCTGAGATTATCTTGAAAGACAAAAACTCTTGAGTTTACTTTATGTGACTTAACTATGTGAGTTTTTGTCTTATGAGTCACCACTCAGTGTAATACTGCGAGACGTCTTTCTTTGTGAATTAACAGAAGTCCCAAGCTGGAGTCAAAACACTCTGAATTACGTCATATATGGTACTATCACATAGTATGGTAATTACGGTCATAAATGATAATGACTTGACTTTTAGACATGGTCATGTGATACTGTAAACATAATTATTTTAATTCACTCAAATTTTTGCGCAACATCAAATTTTGACAGATTAGTACATTGCCAAATATGGTACACCCGCAAAATTTGTAATAGAAAATCAAAAAACAGTCACTTTCATAAGCACATTCATAATTCCGCGAAATTTTTAAGCAAAGAAAGCGCTAAAATAAGACTACCGCTAAAATCTGTCAGTTTACAGTATCTAGTACATGATCATGTGATATCTAGTTCTTCATGTACGCATGAAAATTTGTATAAAATCAATTTTGGTAGAAGTGTACCAAATATAGTTACACACAAATGATATTGTAACTATCACACTCACTACTACTGATAACAGATAACATTAGACATACACCTTGTAATATGTAGCACATGGTATCATCTACAACACATTTATAATGCCATTCATTTCATATATCATGTATGTTACATAAATCATACTATGTAGTGTATGTTATTCAGTTTGTTTTATATAATGTAATTTGAAGTATACCCCTGCAATATATTGGTGAAAGGGATATGTATGTCACTGTAGACAAATAGATGTTACATTTATTTAAGAAATGAATGTTTTAGCAAATATTGTTATTGTCCTATAACACACAATGCTATTGATGACAAACTTAATAGAGCCTGGTAGGGCTTCATGTAAGTTTGTCAGCAATAGAAATGTGTTATAGGACCATAACAATATTTGCTGAAATATTCATTATTTATATTTACATTTTGATGGAGTAGTTACGCTTTATTTAGTTATTTTGAACAGTCTGAACAGCAAATTAAGTCTTGACAACAATGAAATTGATGACGTCACAATAGAGATTGATGACGTTACAATAGCAAATGCTGTTATAGTCTCATAACAACATTTGCCATCTCAATGCATTGCCGTGGAAGGATGCAGAGAAAATGTAAACATTTCCTTGTAAATAATTGAGATTTCACCTGCAAGGTTTCAACAATAGCACTTTCAAATGGAATTTCAATGAATTCCTAAGATTTTTTTAAAATTTAACTGCAAAGTAGAAAACATTTTTTACATCTATAGCCAGTGTAAGGCAAGGTTCTAAATGTTCCCTGTCAAACGTTTAAATATTCATTATACAGATTGTTTCTCTTGGCTTAGATCTTTTTTTCAAATTAACTAGAAATGTTAGCACAACATTACCTTTTTTCTATATGTTCATTATCATGACTCTCATCTCACAAATATCAAAAGATGAAGTTGAAAACTGTGGGACGAGTTCTGGTTACAATGTTATGTAAAAAGACAGATGGACAGACAGTGTGACAACACAATATACTCCACGAGACCTATGAAAACATGGATGCATTTTTTTGTAACTACCCTGAGAGTCCATACTTGCCATTATTTCAATATTTCATAGGTAAACATGGCATTCTAAAATCCAAAAACGTTTAAACATGGAATTTTAAAATCCAAAAACGTTTAAGTATTCGCAATGACACCTACTTGACAAAATAGTGTCCGTCATTGAAGCCATGATATACTTTTAATCAATTGAAATTGAACAAAATAATAAAGAAGGGAATTTTTGCTACAGCCAACCAAATATGAGGGTCAATTGGAAATCTCCCTACAAAACACTGATAGGCAGAACTGACACGTATGAGGGTCCCTTTGCACTTATTGGCCCGATATAAAACAATTGTTTTAGAGTTATCACCCCTGACCAAGCATTGTTGTTTTGACAGGAGTTGTGAGTGCTGTCTTTTTATAATATAATGTCCTGAAAATAGTACATGCAATTACATTCACTTCTATTTTATAGAAGTTCTTTATTTTCACAGAAAATAAGGTTTTTCTGTTCATGTCATACAGTGCTTTATATGACATTTTTATTTAAAACATGACATGTCTTTAACAGCAATGCACTAAATTATCTATAACAAAAAGAGTACCATCTATGACACATACAGTGTTATCTGTCTCATTATAACCTGTGGTGTATGGTCTTTAACTTGTGTGCTGTTACCTAGCAGCGTAGAGGCTGCTTCTGATTGGATGACACTGTATGGTATCCATGACAACACACTGTTCACTGTGACAGGTTGTGACTGTGGTACGACCAGTCATACACTTGTACTTGATAATGGACGCCGCATAGTGAGTGTTATATCTGAAAGATTGTTCCAGCACTGATAACACTCTGATACCACACGTTCTCCCAATGACTAATAACACACATTCACTGATAACATTTTCACATTGATAATAATGTTTTTCTCATTTATAACACACTTTGAACACTACTTATCACAACATTCTTCTCTCACCATTACCATTCTCTCTCTCATAAACTGATAACACATTGTCTCTCCCTGATAACACATTGTCTCTCACTGATAACACACTGTCTCTCACTGATAACACATTGTCTCTCACTGATAACACACCACTTGTTGGTATGACCTGAGATGACACTGTGGTGTCACTGATAACAAACCCTTGTATTTGTGTATCAGTTGGACATTTGCCCTAATTTTGTAAAAGACACACATGGTATCATTCTTAACACACAACAAAATTGGTGCTAGTTTTGTATTCGAAACATCACATACTCAATAAACCCTTCTACTACCTTAACAGGTCAAATGTCGAATTTGAGGATAACCATTCCATAACCTTGACCACATGGGGCGAGGTTATAAATGTGAACCATCAACCATTATATGACCTTGAATAAAGGTCAAGAGTTCTATATTTGGCACCTTAAGCACATATGCACACAACCGTTCCGACGTGCAGACGACACACCGAGATAAGTGTGTCCCACTAAAAACTAATGCTAATCTGTTTCTGTACGTCATTTCTTGTCCAGGTGATTCGGTGCATCTGCAAACATATACTTCAGTTTGTACGCTTCTGCTAAAAGTTCTCCAATTTCTTCGTTGTTCCAATGATGTGTTGGTAAGTTCTGTAGAAACATGAGAATTCCCTACAAGACAGAAAAATATCATATCAGTTGTCATGCTTCATGAAGCAAACCTCTTAATCTTTCTGACATAGCTAGTTATTTTAGACATCTGACAATCAGTGTTGTTTAGATATCTGACATAGCTAGTTATTTTAGACATCTGACAATCAGTGTTGTTTAGATATCTGACATAGCTGTTATTTTAGACATCTGACAATCTGTGTCGTTTAGACATCTGACATAGCTAGTTATTTTACACATCTGAAAATCTGTGTTGTTTAGACATCTGACATAGCTAGCTATTTTAGATATCTGACAATCTGTGTTGTTTAGACATCTGACATAGCTAGGTATTTTAGACATCTGACAATCTGTGTCGTTTAGACATCTGACATAGCTAGTTATTTCAGACATCTGACAATCTGTGTTGTTTTGATATCTGAAATAGCTAGTTATTTTAGACATCTGACATAGCTAGTTCTTTTAGACATCTGACAATCTGTGTTGTTTTGATATCTGAAATAGCTAGTTATTTTAGACATCTGACAATCAGTGTTGTTTAGATATCTGACATAGCTAGTTATTTTAGTCATCTGACAATCTGTGTTGTTTAGACATCTGACATAGCTAGTTATTTCAGACATCTGACAATCTGTGTTGTTTTGATATCTGAAATAGCTAGTTATTTTAGACATCTGACATAGCTAGTTATTTCAGACATCTGACAATCTGTGTTGTTTTGATATCTGAAATAGCTAGTTATTTTAGACATATGACAATCTGTGTTGTTTAGACATCTGACATAGCTAGTTATTTCAGACATCTGACAATCTGTGTTGTTTTGATATCTGAAATAGCTAGTTATTTTAGACATCTGACATAGCTAGTTATTTCAGACATCTGACAATCTGTGTTGTTTTGATATCTGAAATAGCTAGTTATTTTAGACATCTGACATAGCTAGTTATTTCAGACATCTGACAATCTGTGTTGTTTAGGTATCTGGCATAGCTAGTTATTTTAGACATCTGGCAATCTGTGTTGTTTAGACATCTGACATAGCTAGCTATTTTAGATATCTGACAATCTGTGTTGTTTAGACATCTGACATAGCTAGGTATTTTAGACATCTGACAATCTGTGTTGATTAGATATCTAACAAGCTGTTTTATCCGAGATATCTGACAAGCTGTTTTATCCGAGATATCTGACAAGCTGTTTTATCCGAGATATCTGAGGTATCTGACATAGCTAGTTATTTTAGACATCTGACAATCTGTGTTGTTTAGATATCTGAAATAGCTAGTTATTTTAGACATCTGACAATCTGTGTTGATTAGATATCTAACAAGCTGTTTTATCCGAGATATCTGAAAAGCTGTTTTACCTGAGATTTCTGAAAAGCTGTTTTATTTCAGATATCCAACAATCTGTTTTACCTGAGATATCTGAAAAGCTGTTTTATTTTAGATATCCAACAATCTGTTTTACCTGAGATATCTGACAAGCTGTTTTATTTGAGATATCTTACAATCCGTTTTACCTGAGATATATTACAAGCTGTTTTATCAGAGATATCTGAAAAGCTGTTTTATTTTAGATATCCAACAAGCTGTTTTACCTGAGATATCTGGCAAGCTGTTTTATCCGAGATATCTGACAAGTTCTTTTATCAGAGGTATCTGTTTTATCCGAGATATCTGACAAGCTGTTTTATCAGAGATATCCGACAAGCTTTTTTACCTGAGATATTCAACACACTGTTTTATCCGAGATATCTGCCAAGCTGTTTTATCCGAGATATCTGACCAGCTGTTATATTTGAGATATCTGACCAGCTGTTATATTTGAGGTATCTGACCAGCTGTTGTATTTGAGATACCTGACCAGCTGTTATATTTGATATATCTGACCAGCTGTTATATTTGAGGTATCTGACCAGCTGTTGTATTTGAGATTCCTGACCAGCTGTTATATTTGATATATCTGACCAGCTGTTATATTTGAGATATCTGACCAGCTGTTATATTTGAGATACCTGACCAGCTGTTATATTTGAGGTATCTGATCAGCTGTTTCATTTTAGATTTCCGACCAGCTGTTTTACCCGAGATATTCGACACACTGTTTTATCCGAGATATCTGACAAGTTGTTTTATCAGAGGTATCTGTTTTATCCGAGATATCTGACAAGCTGTTTTATCCGAGATATCTGACAAGCTGTTTTATCTGAGATATTCAACACACTGTTTTATCCAAGATATCTGACAAGCTCTTTTATCCGAGATATCTGACCAGCTGTTTTTACCTGAGATATCTGACAAGCTGTTTTATCCGAGATATTCAACACACTGTTTTATCCGAGATATCTGACAAGCTGTTTTATCCGAGATATCTGACCAGCTGTTTTTACCTGAGATATCTGACCAGCTGTTTTTACCTGAGATATCTGACAAGCTGTTATATTTGAGATACCTGACAAGTTGTTGTATTTGAGGTATCTGATCAGCTGTTTTATTTTAGATTTCCGACCAGCTGTTTTATTTTAGATTTCCGACCAGCTGTTTTATTTTAGATTTCCGACCAGCTGTTTTACCCGAGATATCTCGCCTGCTGGACATGTGTGGGGTCTATAGTAAATAATTTTACTGCTGTAAACTCCTTCTCAGAGTTTATTGATTGTTAACTGTATAACTTTGGACTCGCTGCTCACAAAGCTGTAGTATTATTAGACAGACCGACAGGTGACAGGTGCCTGTCTACTCACCTGAAAATCCCGTTCCCGTTGTATATCTTTAGAAAACCTCACCACGAATGCTGCACACATGTAGAGGTGAAAGTCAGCAAAACCATTGGGCTCACACTATCAGAAATAAAACTGTGTCAGTCAGAAAGGTGTACAGACATATAGGGAAGTAAGTCCCTGAAACACCAGCGTCTTAACAGGCAGAAATCTGTGTTTACCCTCAATAGCTTAACACCATAGAAACTGAGAAATCTCTAATTTTTTATAGCTCTTCTTGTATTTGTAATCAAAGAATATGTGTGTGTAAATTTTCAATAGTTCGTATTTAAATTAAGCATTAGCCAATTAAACCATTTCACCAAATTACAATAAAGATATTTCACAAAAAATTTAACTTACAGCTCATAGTGCCTTTTTCTAAACTATGATACATATATGTAAGCCAAAAACAATTCTAACTTGCCAAATAATTTACTTATAACTGATAACTATGGAAATCAGAAATTGATAAGATGAAAGATAATCTCATAATGTTGTTTTGTAATTTTAACTAACTTTTTTACCAACGCAATATACTGGACAGCCTCAATCAGTAACGGGTGATATTTCAAGCTATTATCAATACCAATTTGCACAACACAACTACTGGTATACTTTTAAGAACATCTTTAAACAGAAAACTCGGCTGATGGACAGCTAAAAATAGAAACCCCTCACTGATCACACCTACCAGGTATGTGTCCCACAGTCTGACTGTACACCGGAGTGGAATTTCACGCATCAGTAAATTGTTCATCCATCGGAAGGAAAATTGAAGGTATTCCACAGACTGTTCCTCTAAGTGTTTATGTAAAGGAACTGTAATAGAGAAACAAGTGAAGGTCAACATATGCCTGTATGACCGAATAGTTAGGAAAAGTGGAACACTTTAAATCAATCTTAAATATTTCGTTTCTGGCCAACTAGCTTTCTAGAGGAGGAACATAAAATTCATTTTTTTTTTATCCAGAAAATTCATGAAAATTTTTAATTTTGATAAACCCAAATGACCAGATTAATAAAATTCCACTACAGAACCCGCGGAACTCTGGACACCATTTGTTGTGTGTTTACAAATAAAGCTACTGGTCATTCTATTTTGTGCTCAGTCTCAATAGCCCTAAACCGCTTTGGTTGTCAATGAAGCCCTAACTGGAGAAATAAAACATGTACATCTTGGGATTAAAAATTATCAATGTCGGAAAAAACACACAAAAATACTCTGATTGCCATACAGTGTTCAGAAATTTGAACTTGAAAATTAGATTTTTTTGTGTTTGAGATAATGCCACTTCATAACAGGAATTCAACATCAAAACACATTAAATACATAAATACAACGAAGTAAAAGTTAAGGTGATTCTGGCCCTGAACCAGTCAAAACACAGCATTTCATTGATAAGTTTTGACTAATTCTCTCACACATAAGATTGTAAATGTTGATCCTACCGTCTATTCGTTTGACCAGCTCCTTTAGGGCATTGACTTTCATCTGTATGCCCGGCTGTGCGAATGTGTAGTTGTCCTGGATACCGTCCAGTAGACGGGAAGTACACCAGTAACTGTCTGCCTCGATGATGCGTAGTGTTTCCTGCGGTAATTCCTGTAAGTCACAGTTTTCCGACTCCACATCTGAAGCAGACAATGTTACAGTTAAAATGAAGCCTTGCACCAAGTAATATCTAACAAAGCAGGGTTTTTTTTCTATGAAGACATGATGAGAGAGTTCTACCCCCTACTGTGATCTGCAATATACTGTATATCACTTACCATATTTACCCTGCAATGAACCCAAGGGGGCCAACACAAATCTTCAACTCAGGTAGATGGGGGGGGACTATTACAGGACAATCACAAATTTTATTGTTTTTATGGTATTTATATTGAACTGCAGTTAATATGGATGGGCTTATTAACAGACATAGGCTTATTTCCAGATAAAGACAATATCTTTTAAGTAATTTTTGTCTATTTTTGTCTTGAATTATAGCCAAATACAGACTGCTTTTCCTATTTTAGCAGTTCTTTGTTTCCAGAAATGTAGAAAATTTAACTCAATTATTTCAAATGCTACTGAATACAATCGTTGACATGTTCCGATACTTGTTAACATATGAAATTGATTTCTTTCATCGTACCACATTTTCAAAACAATGCTAGTCATGACCAGTATTTTAATTTTCATTAGTTGACAGGTTTGTTAAGACAGAAGTTATAGTGAACATTTTTCTCACCGTTCTCAATGTATTCGGACAAGAACACCACAAAGAAGGGTGTAACCAGATCGTTGATTCCTTGTACGTATCCGCTGGCAGGGTGGCGGATTGCCCAGATATACAAAATCCTCTCAAAAATCTACACAAACAAATGTTCAATGATATACATATTTACATACCATACAATGCATTTAAAATAATGGTCATCAGTTACCTGGACAATTATAAAATAAGCGTTATTTTTATTCATTTATTTTTTGACATGTTTTGATACTTATTAACAAATGAAAGTTTCTTTTGTTATTTTTTTTTTAATCAAACAGATAAAGTAATCAATTTGACATCAATTACAGGAATTATCATCACTGCCATTTCTATATTGTTCTTTCTGAATTTACTGAAATATAACAGTAATTTCTGCAATTCAATTATATGCTTGACCTTTTCAGTAATATAGAATCAAATTTTCACCACTGTTGTTTCAACTGTGAAACAAATACTTTTGCTTGTACTCATGCTTTCTAAACCATTCAGCTCAAGTAAAATCAAATTAAACTACATGGTGAAAAAACTCAACAAGATTTCTCAACAAATCAGGGATTCAACAAGAGGCCCAAAGGGCCTGTATCGCTCACCTGGATATGTTTAAAATAATGAGTGTGAAGTAAAGATATAGCACTCCATGGCAGGTGCTGTAATTATTAATAATAAGTACATATGAAATTTCAGAAAAAATCCATCCAGTATTTGAGATATAACAAATTTCAAACAGAGCCCCACCCCTGTGCCCCTAGGGGGGTCATACCCACTGTTTATACAAAATTGAGTCCCCTTGGACAAAAGAAGCTCCAGACTAAATAAGGATAAAATCCCTTAATCACGATGGTCAAGGATTTTAAAGGTTTTACCACTATTTCTCCTATTGGACCCCACCCTTCTGCCCCCTGGGAGACCACACCCACTGGTTATACAAAATTGAGTCCCGGACTTGGCCCAAGGATGCTCCAGACTAAATTAGGATAAAATCCCTTAATCCCTATGGTAGAAGAAGGATTTTAAAAGNATTCACACCAAATATGGACCAAAATCTTTCCATTCCTACAGAAGAAGAAGGATTTTAAAGAATAATTTGCTATATTTCCCCTATTGGGCCCCACCCCTCAGGCCCCTGGGGGGTCAGACCCATGGTTTATACAAAATTGGTACCCCTTCACCCAAGGATGCTTCAGACTAAATATGGAATAAATCCTATCATTCCTACAGAAGAACGATTTTTAGGAATTTGTTATATTTCCCATATTGGGCTCAGCCCCTCAGCCCCAAGGGGGCTAAACCCACCGTTTATACAAAATTGGTTTCCCTTAACCCAAGGATGCTCAACACCAAATATGGACCAAATCCTGTCATTCCTACAGAAGTAGAAGAATTTTAAAGAATAATTTCCTATGTTCCCTAATTGGGCCCCACCCCTCAGGCCATTCGGAGGGCCAAACCCACGGTTTATACAAAACTGAGTCCCCTTGGCCCAAGGATGCTCCAGACTTAATAAGGATAAAATTCCTTAATCCCTAGGGTAGGAGAAGGATTTTGAAGGTTTTACCTCTATTTCGCCTATTCGGCCCCGGCCCTCTGCCCCAAGGGGGGCCACACCCACCATTTATACAAAAATGAGTCACCTTGGCCCAAGGATGCTCCAGACTAAATTAGGATAAACTCCCTTAATCCCTACGGTAGAAGAAGGATTTTGAAGGTTTTACCTCTATCTCCCCTATTGGGCCCCGCCCCTATGCCCCCAGGGGGGCCACACCCACCATTTATACAAAATTGAGTCCCCTTGGCCTAAGGATGCTCATGACCAAATTTAGTCAAAATCTATTTGGCCTTTCAGGACTAGGAGCGTTTTAAAGGAAAAGTTGATGGACGGACGGACGACGGATGCCGCGGTATGGCATAAGCTCACCATGGTCCTTCGGACCAGGTGAGCTAACAATGACCGAATTCATATCGAGTGACAAGTGAAATCTGGCATAGCGAACACGTTTAATTTCACAAGAAGTAAGAAACACCAATCCACCAAGATAATAGACTACCCGGTACCCAAAGCTACATGCAACCAGACACAGAGGTAACACAAAACACACTGTTAGCATCATGCTTCATCCAGAACACTAGACACAAGCTGTCATGTTTGTTGTATCCATGGTTACTATTTTCATATGAGCACATACTGTTGATCATCTTGTATAAGATACATACATAGTCATTTCACATTAGCAGATTCAAGTGAGCCCCCACTTTTTGGTTTTTGGTATTACCCATCTCTAGGTAGTCACTATAACAGGGTACTAGTATTTAGACAATTTTTTGTCTCTTCATTGTTTCATGTATCAAAGGATAACATTTTAAGAATGATTACAGACTAGAAAATGTTTTTTGAACATATATGTGCCTCCCTACCCGTAGGGCTGGAAATGCATCTACCAGTAAATGCAAAGTCTAACCAAAAGAAATGGAGCTAAAAAAAAAAAACAAAAAAAACCTAAGTCTGACTTGTAAGTGAAGCAGATATTACAGGTCACAGTGACCTACATTAGATGTATCAGTGTAGCACTCCTCAGGATGTATCTACAGGTCACAGTGACCTACATTAGATGTATCAGTGTAGTACTCCTCAGGATGTATCTACATATGAAGTTTTACTTCTATACTAACAGTAATGGAGCCGAATGCAAAGTTGTCAAATGTGCAAACTCTAAATGTGTCCTCCACTATTTGGCGGGACCACGAAAAACCAAAACCAGATTTACAGTAAGAAGTCTGGAAAATAACACGATATTAGTGACTAGAGATTCCCCACAAACCCGTTAATTTGATCTCTTAATCTAATTCTGATCCATTAAGTTCCACATGCGATTATTACTCTATATTATTACAGGCATTAGTGTTAGAAGTTATTAACTAATGAAGGGATTAAGACGTCCAGAAACTCTAAACTTCTAAAGCTGAAAGGATATATCATAGCAGCTAGATAATTAATTGCAAGAATCAATTTCATCTCCAGTTAATTGAAATGCATACAATTTTCTATAACATAACATGGTGGCAACCTGAGTCGGCATGGTTGCATACTTACTTCTTGAACAACCTTTTGTTGAAACAAGTGAGCAAGTGAGGTCATTCTTGGAATATCTTTAAGAATCTGTAAAACAAGCACGGAATTTCATAATGTAATCATATTACAACAAAAGTCAAAGCACCAACTTGCCAAAGATGGTGACAACAAGCTCAAGCTTCAACTTAACCAGGATGCTGTCACATCTAAAGCATTAGCTAGACCCAGAGTTGATGACAAGCAGAAAACCATCACATTTACAAATGTAGCCAGGCTCTTTGTGACTGATAGCTATAACTGTAAAGACGTAAAAAGCATACACCCACAAAAGCAATGAGGGATTTGTTCAGTGAAAATTGCATCATTCTTCAATTAACAGAAATACACACTGGTGCAAGCTGATGTTTCTAAACATTGCAATAACCTGAATTTTATTATTTGCAGTGAGTCAATAGATATTTTTTACTTGATAATTTTATTTGTTAAAGGACCAATCTATTATTCATGCAAGTTACACTGAACAAAATCGAGGTGAAGTACATATACTGATATACTAAACCTAATACAGTGAGCTAGCTACACATATGTGCCACAAAGATGAGTTTATACATCATGCAATAGAAGTTGAAAGCTTGCTTTATCAAATATAGTCTTGTAATTAACCATGTTTACTTGTAAACGAACTTGATTGCCCATCATTCCACGAGGTTGCAGGGTTAATATCACAATCCCAGCTCTAACAGATGGCTAGAAGAATCTGTTCATTTTTTTAAAAATATAATTGACACCTATGACCCTGAAAGCGACTCAAGGTCATTTATGTGAATTTTAGTATCATTTGACAAAGCAAGCAAGCACCCGTGACTTTACAATATCCAACAACGAAGACACTGAGGTGTGGGTACCATCTACCAAATATCATCCAGGGTAAGCCTACTCACTTCCTGAACAATTTTTTGTTGAAATAGGGGAATTAATGGACTCATTCTTGGTATATCAATGTGAATCTGAAAACAAGAGGTTGTTACACACATATGAATTGGTGAATATTTTATTGATGACAAAGTTCTAAGAAATCTGAGTGGCTGTCTGCTGGTACACAGTCTGACAGGTCGATAGTCCGTTTCATCTGTTAGAGTGAAAAAATTGAGTTTGAAACACAAACATTTAAAAACAGAGGCCCAAGAGGGCCTGTATCGCTCACCTGAATATTTAAGCAGTCATAGCAAAATATTCTCATTAAATATTATATTGCACTAAAAATATTTCCCTCGCAAACTTTGTTGGCTCCATCTGTTGAAACTACCAGCAAAATATTATTATAAGATTCTATGCTTTTTTATCCTTCTTCAGAAGTTGCTCGACATATTTTCCCTGTGATCCTGTAAGTAGGTCAATGTCATTTTCCTTCTCAAATTGGTTAGCTCTATTCCAAAAAGCTACCAGCCAAATCTTATGAATCCATTCCTTTTAGTTCTCAAGAACAAATCCATTAAAATGTTGTTGACCTCTGTGA